TACAGTTGGCCATCTTACATACACAAGGCAAGGGGGAGCTATTCCTTCGTGATCTTGTACCCAAGGACACAAAAAACAAACTCACAAAGCCAAAGTAAGTAAAAAGCAGTTCTTTCTTTGTCCTGGACAGGGGAACTAGGCTCACCTTTGTATTTTTTGGCAAAATCTGTATAGCACATGTCAGTGTTTAAAGTAAAGGTCACTTTTGGAGGCTTAAGAAGAGCATGAATTGGATTGCCCAAGATTGGGAGACCAGTCAAGTGAGCTACATCTAAGATGGTAGGGGAAATCATACCAAAATTGAGGAGTAGGGAGTTACAAGATTGCGACCAAAAGCATGCAGCAGCAGCAATCAGCCCTTTGTCCATGTTATAATTTTTAGTCGACAGTCTAATTGCTTCACTAATGCCCCAGTGCTTCCATACTTCAGCGTCGTGACCTTCAATTCTCCTGGCCCAGCTTCGCCAAATAGAGTCTGGTAACCTCCACGATCTGAGTGGGTTTTTGCTGACATTCCAGTTAGTCCACTTAAGTCCAGGTTGGTTGAGAAGAAGATTCTCACCATTACCAAGGAGATAGTATGGAGCTAGCTCGTCTGGGAAGTAAGACACGAAGGTAGGGCCTAGAGTAGCCTTAGCAACAGAGCTTGTGCTGGGCAATAGGGTTGCACCAAATTTTAAAGGAGCGATACGTGCTCTGATAGGGTCTGGGAAATGGAGTAGGTCTTCATTGTTTTCCTCAGGTGGAGATGGTTGAGATTTTTTCGGCACCATGGCTTAGGGTTTTGTGGTTCTGTGGTTTTGACCGGCGATGCTTGAGAAGAAGGAGTACAGTCTGAGGAGTTTGAATCAGAGGGAAATGAAGTGGTTTGAAGTTGAAAAGGTGGGTATTTTATAGCTTATGATGGGGCCAGTATATTTAAATGCTCTTATATTGGGCTGTAGTTTTCGTTTGTTTTGGGCCCGTGTTAACAAATTTCCTATTGGGCCCAAACAATGGCCCCTTGTTGAAGTTAAATATCATATGACTTGGACCCCCACAAGGGGGGCACCCCCATGACCCCCTGTCTCTCTGATTGGCCAGTTTTTTTTTTTTTTCCTTCACCTCCAAACACCAGCCCCCACGTGTGTGTGTGGGAAGGGGTGGGGTGATGGTGCAGGTGGTAATTGGAGGGAGTCTCAATCACTTCTGCAAGGTTAATTCATATGATATTTAACTTGAATAAGTGGGCCATTGTTTGCACCAAGTTTTGCCAGTCTCTATCGACAGATGGCCCACTTAATCGAGGACATGTGGCGAAGTCTGAAGAAATATCCACCAGTTAAAAGTGGGCTCTCTGCATGTGGGTCGCCTAGAAGTGATGGGGGAAGTTTTTAGCACCAGTTATGGAGTTAGTGGGCACACTTTCAGGAGGAAGCATGAGACAAAGCAGGAGCCTTGCTCTGTCGACAGAAGTTTCAAACAGTTGGTGGCCATGAAATAAACACAAGAAAAGGGAGATCGACAGATAGAAGTGGAGGTTTAGTATACTTGGAAAGACTAGAAGGGAGATCGTTGGTTTCGATATTCGTATACCGTTTTTGTGGCCCATCATTGCATGATCCCACACGTCTACACCATAACTGCCACTGTAATTGTCCCCTGACTTCAAATCTTCAAGTTCCCTCTGCCAAATATTGACTCTTCCCTGTCGACCTTCCTTATCACCATTGTGGGGCATGTCCCTCATCATTATGAGTTAGTGGGCACATTTTCAGGAGGAAGCATGAGACAAAGCAGGAGCCTTGCTCTGTCGACAGAAGTTTCAAACAGTTAGTGGCCATGAAATAAACACAAGAAAAGGGAGATCGACAGATAGAAGTGGAGGTTTAGTATACTTGGAAAGCCTAGAAGGGAGATCGTTGGTTTTGATATCCGTATACTATTTTTGTGGCCCATCATTGCATGATCCCACACGTTTACACCATAACTGCCATTGTAACTGCCCCCTGACTTCGAATCTTCAAGTTCCCTCTGCCAAATATTGACTCTTTTCTGTCGACCTTCCTTTTCACCATTGTGGGGCATGTCTCTCATCATTATGAGACAAAAATCGACAGAATATTGTCCACTAAACACAACTACAATCCTTGCAAACTGGGCCACTGAACCATAACACTTGGCCACTCACTGTTATTGCCCCTGACTTTGAATCATCAAACTCTGCCAAATATTGAATTGTCCCTGTAATTTAATCAAAATATATTCAATGTCGGTAAACTTGTTAATATTTGAAATAACCTTTTTCTGTATTGTAATGACTTAAACACAATTGTTGTCCTACATTTTATGTAACCAAAATACACAACTTATTTATTTCAAAAACAAAATATACATCTCGGGTTTATAATAAAAAAAATGGAAACTACTTTTCTTTTAAACAAAGTTCACTCATATTTTTAGCTAAATTATGATTGGTTATTTTTAAAAAATTCCTCTTTGCACCTATTTTTCCCACATCCTGCCAACAGCTGCTCCATTCAATTGAGGACACATGGCAAGTCCACCTGAAGACAAGGGTTATCAACTAACATTGAATCTTGCATGCCACCTGACTTACACGCTGGAGCAGTTATTGGCAGTGCTCATGGATTTAGTGGCCAGCCTCCAAGAGGAAACATGAACGAATTGGGAGTTTGTATTTGTCGAGGAAAGGCTAAAAGGACTTGGGCACAGGTGGCAACTTCAATTATATGCACTTCGACAGGTACAAGTGAAGGTTTTATGTGGTTTCAAGACACGGAAATGACCGTGCAGTTACAGAAGTTGCGCAGAAGCAGTTGCAGAATCAGTAGATCATGGGGTCGTGGGAAATAATAGCTATAAAGGACAGAATGTTTGCAGAGAGAGAGGACATGAACAACAACACAACAACTTACTTTCTACATTGTAATTTCTGAGTAGTTTTTTCCCTTCTACTTTCTAATTTGTTACAAACAACACAACAACACAATAACTTACTTTTTACTTTCTATTTTGTACTTTGTTACTTTCTACTTTGTTACCATCAATTCATCGAAAGAAGTCTTCATCCTTTTGAGGCATTCGAACCAATACCACAATTGCTTGATTTTCTTCTTTAACTTGTCAACTTTAAATTACTATTTCGTTGCTGTCGATATAGGCCCACCATAATTTTACTAACAAAATAAACCCATCACTTTCATAGTTAACATGAAATAATTTCACAACTCTTGTTCGTAACTCGTAATTCATATAACAATCGGCATGGAGATAAAGTAACGAGTTCGTTGGGTTACTTTCTCCAAGTAACACCCAAAATTAACTGCCACTTGGATTATATACAAAATGCATGTGCTGGGATGTAATTTTGCAAACCCACATGGACGAAATTCGTATTTTACTCGAAATATAATACTAATTTACCGAAACAAGTCATTACAAATCAATACGAAGCCAAACACATCGTTAGTTGATAAACCACACCGCAAAAAACCCTTCAGTTAGATCCAACCAAATATGGAACAGAAACAAGCAACCCGCAAAGGAATATTGGAATACAGACATAAGCCAATTTCCTACCCAAAACAATACACAGACAACCCATATATATCTCACCTTCAATTAGTTTTCAAAATGACAAGTCACTGCAAACACAAATGACAACATCACTCTAAACAATATGGGAAATTTACAACTCGTGGCCTTGTACATAAGTAACGTTGTGCCATATCTTGGCATTGTACGTAACCAATTATTTACACGTTACGTACAACAATCCGTGCAAAATGAAAACTACATACATTATTTACATGTGTTTCCAATAGCTAGTACTGTTTACCTAATAAATTAAGGGAATAAGTAAATCATACAAATTATACAATTACTTGATTCACCTCATCAATTCTGGTCGAATCATTTTTGCACACAGCTGCTTCAACACTACCGTATTGGCCCACAGGCTGCTTGGAATCAGGAAAAGCATCAAAAAATAGTCGTCGTTGCTTAATGTGCGGTGTACTAGGATCCACCAACCCAGTTTTGCAGCGAACGGGCAATGACTCCGCATTGTACTCACGGTCAGTTATGTGGGTTGTATCTGCATCTGAGTTACTACCCACTGTTCGGCTAAATCGAACCTTAGGATGTGTTTGCTTTGTATGCCCAATGCATTTGCAATTCCCATATTTTCTTGGTCCTCGACAGTTGGACGAGGCCTGTCCCGGGTTCCCTTTTGTCTTCACAACATCAGGATCTTCTACTCCAAATTGTCTAGGGGATGAATGTTTCCCTTTGTCTACATTTCCATCGTTCAGATTCCTCTCATATAACTCCTTCATCCGGCTCGTCATCGAAAGACATACATCCCTAGCCTCTTTGAAACCTTCCGTTGATTGCGAGGCATAGAAATACATTTCATTGTAGGAAGAACTCAATATCTCATACCAGGCCGTCTGTGTTGTAGTGCTATCAATTGAGTGTTGAGGCCATTGCTGGCTATCCTTGCTTGCAGCCCTTGACCATCTATGCAACACACAAGTTGGGGGAATTTGCGTTAAATTTTTGGCTTTCATAACACATATCATGTGACAGCAAGGTAGCCCCAATGACTCAAACCTCATGCAAGAACATCTCATTGCAGCATCCACTGGACTGTGTGTTACTATCCATGATCTATCCTTCACTTTGTACTTATGAATATAGTAGCATTTTTGACCATTCGGCAAAGAGAACACGTCATTGACAGTCAACTTCCCCTCTTCTAAGATTTCATCATGGAACATTCTAAATATATTTCGGGTGAATAGCTCAGCTCCATGTCTCTCTATATCTCGCAATGGAGTAATCAATACCGGAAAAGTGTTATTTGTTTCAGCATCATCTCCAGCCTCGTTATACCTTATCCTTGCAAGAGCCCGATCATAGTGCCTAACAAATTCATATAGCTTTAATTTGTGTTGGAGGAAGGGATTGAAATAAGCATTCATACACTCCGAGCGCTAAGTGCTCTTCATCCCAGCAAAGAAATGTCCACGCATATATGCCTCAACCCACATATGACGCTTCTCATATGTCTCTAACACCCAACTGTTCGTTTGAAGTCCAAATTTTTCGACCATTGTCGTCCAGCCATGCTCAAACTTTGTCTCATCCGTTTCCGTGTCCATGCACTGCTTGAAAGCATGTGCAAAGCCACTTATGTGAACATTTGAAACAACATTTTTCCCAAGATGCCAATTACATAATCGAAGTCTTGCATCTAGAAATACTTTTCTGATTGCCTCTCGCATCGCCTTATCCCCATCTGTCAGTACGGACACAAGTGCTTTATTGCCCATCGCCTCTATAAATGTTTCCAAAAACCCATGTGTATGTCTTCATTGTCTCATTAGTAGCAAAACACATGCAAATATCGTGGTCCTGAAGTGGCTAGTCACACCAGCCAACATGACAAAAGGTTTCTTGTATGCATTGGTTCTGTAAGTTGAGTCAAATATCAGCACATCACCAAACTTTGCGTAGTCGCCCCGCGATTTCGAATCTGCCCAGAACAGATTTTGTAACTTGTTATCGTTACACACATCATACTTGTAAAAAAAACGTGCATCAACATCAAGTTTTGCACATAGGTAAAACAACGCACCCTGCGCATCACCATCCTCAACTTTTGCACTACGTTCGGCTTGAATATGGTTGTGTAGATCCGTACGGATGAAACCAACATTCTCATAAGACCCGGATTGATTTACCATATAGTCCATGATTTGGCTAGTCTTTACACCGATGTTGCGCATAGCCATTGCTTGAGCTTTGTCAGCGCTATTTAAACTGCGATGTGACCTCAGATACATCACACAGTGTTGTTCCGCCAATTCATGGTTGTGGCCTGCGACGAAGTAAGTCACAACATACTTTTCCCCTTCACCAGCATCTGCATCGTGCCGTATGCGAAATTGGGCTTTGCAACCTACTCTTGTTAGTGCCTTGGGAGCTCTACTCTTCTCAGTAACACGGTCCAAGTATTTTGGTAATCACTGACCTTCCCTTGAACACAACCACAACCTACTAAAGACCTTTCTCTCTTTATTTGTGTTAAATCTGGATTTTCGTATACTAAATCCCTTGGCTTTAGCATACATATTGTAGAAAGCTTCTCCATCTTCGACCGAATCAAATTTATGTTCCAGAATAGCACGTTCAACATCACCAACCATGTCCTTGCGAGGAGAATCATCAACCATTTCTTTTTTCACATCGGCTCCGCCATCTTCAACATTCATGTTGGTTGCTTCTTCATTGCTCGGACCAGCTTCGCAACCATGATAAGGTTCCGCCCAACTTTCATTCATCAAACGAATGTCATCTGCTTCATTTGGAATGCCATAATCATCACCTTCCCTTTTAACTTCCGCTGGGGCCATACTACACATGACATTAGTACAAACAATTACTTGATGACCGAAAAATGTTAACACAAACACAAACATGACATTTTCACACGGTTTAGTTATTTGTGCAAACACAAACACTCACTTGAGAAAGAGAAATATTAGTTGCCAATGGAGGGGTTTCCGTTTGAGTGAAGCGTAGAGCGGTTGAAGTTAGGATGGGGGTTTAGTTGAGGGACAATAGCTGAGGTGAAGAGGCCAGAGAAACAGAGAGGGAGACAGAGAGAGGGAGACAACTCCATACCTCATATCTAGTTGGAGAGAAGGGCTTCACTTCAGCAACGGAACCAACACAGCCTTGTAGTTCCTTTGTTATTGGAAATCGCCTGTTATTCTGTTCCCTACAGAGCTTCATCTTCTCGCTGTTAATGGAAATCAAGGGTTACACTGACTCAACTTTACACAGAGAGGAGAACATAGAGAGATAGAGACGAAATACAAAGAGTGAGTGGGATGCAATCATGCAAATACAAGCATTAACCGGTTGCCCCGATTTCAATTTTTTCACGATTAAACAATTCAATGGTCTTGATCAATTATTATAATCTAACGGCTAACAATTGGGTTGCATATGGTGTGCAACCTTAAGGGGATTGCACACTTAAACAGAACCCAATTAAAATCTATTGGTTGAATTGGTTTGGTCTTTTCAATATTTTGGTTCAGTTTTGGATCTTAAAATTATATTTTTTTTTTAGAAAATATTTTTTGAAGAAAATATTTTTCTATATTTGGTGATAGTGGTGGTGGAACAAAGGTAGAGATGGAGGTGGGGCGACGGTGACAGTGATGGTGACAGTAATGGTGGTGGTGACCGTGGTGATAATAGTGTGGTGGTAGAGGTGAAAGTGGTGGTGGTGTGGTGACATTGGGTTGTTTTGGGAAGATGGTAAAAAGTGACTTTTTGGCTTTTAACTAAGCTTTTGGCTTTTTTAGACAAATGATTTGGGAAGTTGGTAAAAAGTGACTTTTGACTTTTTTGATTAATATTTGTTTACGATGTCAAATCATAATAAAATGACTAAACTACCCCCATTTATTTAAAATATTTACAACTGAACCTATGTAACACATTGTGACCCATGAGCCGTTGGCTAAAAACCAACTTGCCAAATGAAAAAAAAGCCAAAAAAGCCAACTTTTGGCTTTTGCTACTAACCAAAAAAAGTGGCTTTTAATTCGTAAAAATGTTATCTGCCTTTTAAAAGTGAAAAATATTTTTCACCTAAATAGGTTTGTTTTTTATTGATCATGAAAAATATTTTTGTTTTTGATTGTACTAAATACCAAAAAGTATAAAAAATATTTTTTGTCCAAACAAACGGAGCATTATAAAAAAAACTAAACCAATCCAATCCATTAATTTTTATTAATATCATACATAAGTGATTTTAATTAACTACACAAAAATAAACAAATAAAGTTAACGTTATGTTGCCCTTGTGCGTGCAAAACGACTCAACCAATCTCAATACGGTGCCGTATTGACTCACAGCAACCCTACTGTGCGCCTAAGCACATCAGAGACCCCGGTTCCCTTTTATATATGGGCAACAGAGGTGAGATTGCCATTATCTATCAGGACAAAGGGCAAAAATAAAAATTTGATGCCTTAGATTCAACCTCCTTGCTTTCACTCTTTTATATATATGTTATAGATATGATACATTCCAAAATTCTTAGATACCAGTTGTGTGTATGCTAGAGTTATTGTATTAATGATAATAGAGTATGCCACATCAAATAGTAAATATATATAATTAAAATAGATAATAAACATAGGATTACTCTCTTTCTTATTACTTATAATTTTTATATTCAAACAGATTTGAATCTGTTGATAATTCAAACAGATAGCAAAAAACGGGAAGGGCCCTGTTTGGGTGTGCATTAATTCCAAACTAGTTTATTTCTGTTTGAAAATGGGAAGGGCCCTGTTTGGATGTACAGAAAATCCAAATCAGTTTAATTTGAATTCTGGATTTTATTTTACCAAAAAATAAAATTAAATTCAAACCCAACCACGCATCCAAGCCCAGCCCGGCCAACCGAACAGCGGCGGTGCGCGTGGTGGTTTTTGGGTCCAATGGGTCTAGCCCATTTTGCCCATAACCTCTCCCTCTAAAACACTTGGGTACCCTTGGGGCACACCCCAAGTATCTCACCCAAGCCTCATAAACCCTTTCAAAACTTCCCACCAAATCAATGTGGGACAAGCCAATTTACAACCTTAAGGAATTTCCACCAAAACTCCATTTCCATGGAGCACACTTTGACTTCAATTTTTCATTCACTCAGTAATGATTTTGAGCAACCAAATATACCACGTGAATCACAAAATATAGGAAAAGTGACTATTTAAGGGAAGCAGGCAGCTCCTTTTGAATCTAACGCCTTAAAGTCCCTCATTTGTCCTGGCTCGATTGTTGATGCTTCGGTGAGTCGGTTTGGTTTTTTATTTTTGGTCGTCCATTTCGCCTGCTGGTTTTTGGCTGCGGATGGTACTCAGAATGATTCAGCTGCTTGATGGTGATGACTCACCTGCTTGATTCTACCTCTTGGGAAAGCAAGACACAACAAAAACAAACCGACTATGAACTGATAAGGAGAAATAGGATTATATATATACTTTCTGCTGCTGATGTCGGTCCTATTTGTATCTGTAGCAAACAAAATAACCGGTATGTTCTTCTTTGTCTCTCTCTCTCTGGGTGTTCCTGTCTTACGCCTACGTTTATTTAATGTTATTATACATTCAGGGCCTTACTTTATTGATGCTGTGTTGTTTTTTTATGAGATTCCATGGCCTTATTTTATTGTTGCTCTGTTTTTTTTTTTTTTTTTGGTATGAGATGCTTTGTCACCATGTGTTTGCAAATATCTTTGACTAAGAGATTGAGATGTTTTGGCTTCCATATATTGTTCACCATATGTTTGATAATATGCCTGAACCAACTTGAAAAAAACAACTCAGCAAACAAGAAATGGCAAACAAGAAAACAAATATTCAAAGAACACACACACAAAGACAAGAGAATCAAATTAGCAACTTCCTTAAATTAATTGAAAAAACAAACCTAGAAACACAAACAAGAAATGGCATAACCAAACAGCAGGGGGGAAAAAAAAAAGTAAGCTTAATATGCATAACCCAAAAGGAAAAAAAAAAAAAAAGACGAAAAGAAAAAGAAAAAAAAAAACAACACAGCATCAATAAAATAAGGCCACGAAATCAAAAAGACAACTTGAAAAAAACATTTCTTGTGTACAGCAGATTGGTGAAAACAGAGTCAAGAGCAAACATTTGACAGGACTGTAGCTTAGGTCTTGCAAAGGAAAATTAAGAGTTTTAAATTAGACTATATTATTGTTTTTGCGTTCTTCTTGAATTTTTTTGGGCTGCAAAGATGGCTTTTTTCTTTGTGAGCTGATTGATTTAGTTTGAATAAAACTCGCTTGGGTTCAAACATTAGAGAGTCAATACAACCCATGTCTGAATTTTTTCTAAGCCACCAAGTTTGATTGGCCTCCAAACTCACTCTCCTGTATATACATATTTGGCTTCTTTTGATCAATCCATGAAGAAATATTTTTGCTGCCTATTTTTGGTGGATGCGTGTTGCATCTTTTTACAAGTGAGCTTTCCTAAGAACCTTAGTCTGATTTCCTAGGCCTCCTTTCTTTTTTTTCCCTCTTTCCATATTTTCTTGCTTAATTGTTTCCCTGTTCTACAGTGCTGTTAGCTGATTCCATCACTTGTCCAACCAAACATATAGCCCTTATAAACCTTAAATCCAACCCCAAAACCCTTAAATGGCCTGTCCCAGCCATCTATAACTATTTTCCTCAGCTAAAATATTAAACGATTAGAAAGTACCAAAATATTAAATGAGGAGAGATAATAAGAAATCAAGTAATCTAAAGAAGCGAGATAAGAAAGAAGTTCTTCAAAATCTGCTTAGAAAGAAAAGCCCCGAAAACTCCAAGACAAAAACTAGAGTTTCAAAAAAAAAAAAAAAAAAAAAACACCCAAAAAAAAAACTTTAAAAAAAAAAAAAAACAAAAATTTTAAAAATTTAACAAAGATTTATACATATTAAAAAAAAAAAACCTCACTTTTAAATATTATGTGAAACATGAAAAATCTTATTCTATCACCAACTACATGTTTGTCAAGCTGTTCCTTTGAGATTGAAAAGAAGAAAAAAAAAAATTCCTTGTAGCTAACAGAGTTTCTAAAAATGCAAGTTAGATGAGAAAGAACATTTCCTTTATTCAAATAATTACCCAATGAGAACCTGATATATATATATATATATATATTCACCAAAATTTTGCTTCACTCCAATTCAACATAATTTTGCTGCATTCCTATCTATTATCTATAACCTATATAAAAAGAACGTAAGAGTGTGTAACGCATGGTGTAACGTTGGGCTTCTTGGTGTTGCTCTGGTGCTTCTGGTGCTTATTTGGTTTGTAAAGCAGATTTGGGCTAGCTACATGGCCTTCAACTTAGCCACACACACGACCGCAGAACAAAACAAATTCCACCATTCCTCCTACAAATTCCTGATTCCTTCCTGCACTGAACCTGCGAAGCGGTGGAAATTGATTTCTCCTAGAAGATTCATTTGTTCGGTGCACCGCTCGGATAACAATTGCTAGCATTCAAGCAATATTGCCTCTGCAACTGCCAAAACTTCAGCTAATTTCTTTACTTGCTCAACTGCTGGAAAGATTTCTAATGTGTTGCAAAAGAGAGTCGGTTAGTTAGTGCACAAAGCCATCTCTATATATGTATAGATATGTGTGTATACTCTTTGTTCTGTTTCGTTTCTTGTCTTGGTTCAACTTCTTGTTTCTCGGTTCATAGATTACTACCCCAAATCCATAATCTGGTATGTAATTTAGAACTTGTCTACTCCTTTTCCTACTAAATATGGATATATTGACATCTGATTGGTATGTCTCTGTTTTCATGGGTACCTGTTAGTGCATAGACAAATTAGGCACACCACCTGCTTGACAAAATTCCTAAACCCCTAAATAAACAAGTAAATGCATAAAAACATATCTAGACCTTTAAACGAGTAATATAGAATTGAAATTGAAAACTCAAAAATAAACCTGTATAATGTTTTCATTATAGACATTGTGGAAGGCAACAAATGACTTAATCTTTAATACGAAGGAAACTAACTCAAGACAATTAAATGAAATTTTGTGATTTTCGATTCCAAATGCAACCTTTGTGTGGTTTAGTATGATAATTTGATTCATATTGATAGTCCTATGTTGTCTTTTATTTTCTGCGTGAGAGCCTTGTGTTGTCTTGATGTTACTAAATGCTGTAATAATGATTAAAACATTTAGCACTTCTTTGGTGGAGCCATGGGTGTTTTGACATCACAGACACTGTTGGGTTCAGCTGGAGTCTCCAAACACAGAGCCACTCTTGGTGCTGTAGCTATCAATTGGATTCTCAAGGTATGCTAATGTTTATATAGTTCACATTTGGATAACTCGTTCATGTTTGAAAACACTTTGTTGCTTGGGATTTGACATCTCTTTTTGGAAAGCACTATTAAGTGCATGAGATGGTAACATCAGTTTCTCAAGACTTCTTTACCTTCTACATAGTTCTATTTTTCTGGTTGGACTCAATCATGTGGAATTTCAATGCTGTTATCATCAGCTTTGGAGATCTTCAGATTGTTAGCCCATACAAAGCACTTAATTGTAAATTAGGTCTAATAATCCTTGAGCTCAAGGGTTTTATTTAAGGTTTTTTTTTTCCTGTTTGATATTTTGGGAATTCAAAATTGAGAGAGTTATTTTAGGTTATTTTTTCTTTTTTCTTTTTTTTTGAACAGAGGAAATTAAACAAAAGGCCAGCTAAACAACTACCAACAAAGGTTTTAAACCAAGAGTTATTTTAGGTTGATTGTAGATTATTTGCAGTTAAAATTATTCTCCTATAGGTAGGCTGGAACTAACTTAAATATTTCAAATATTATCTGAGTTGTTATACTGCTCTCCTTGTGTAACTCGTATGAAAACAAATGAAGACAAAACCCAACCAAACAATATTTACTTGGTTTTACCTTCTGGCTAAAAAATACAGGGGAAAATACAAATCAGTCGCACTTTCAAAAATTAATTACTAACACATGAAAAAGTTTATGTCCTTAATAATTAAAATCTATAAAGTTTATCATTAATTTGAGTTTTTTTTTTTTCCAAAATACCCGCTGATATGTTATTCACCCAAAAATATAAGCACATTCCACTTAGTTTTTTTCCTTCTTATCTTTGAAAATTTTCATCAAAGCTTGAACACTCTCTCTCTCTCTAATTTTTTTTTTTGGTTGGCTTCCAAATCTCTCACAAGATAGTACATGGGACATATTCCAAACCAACTTTTATTAGGGAAAAAAAAAAAAAGCCTCCTAAGCAGAATAACTGCAAACAAAGCAGAGGTTGTGGAAGATTTTAATAGCAATTTGTCTAAATTTGATCTATAATCTACATTGGCAAATTAAATTTTAAAAAATATATATTAGGCTCATTGGTGATTAAATTCTTTATGCATGAAAACCCAACAATAAAATTTCAAGTCTATTGTTAATTTGATTAAAAGACTTTACTGCCTTATGAATCATGATACTTTTACTGTATCTAGCGTTGTGGCTTTACATGCTTCCTTTGGAGTTTGAAGCTTCCTTATCAGAGGTATTAAATATGATTTTGTTAAATACATCATATGCTTTATTTATAGGATGGTGCAGGTTGGGTTGGAAAACTGCTTTTTTCTCAGCAAGGGAAAAAAATTTGATTATGATTTGAAGTAGGTAGAATTGCTCTCAATCATAGTTATTCTTGTGGTTGATTTTCACTGAACTTAGTTTTGATTTCTTACAAGTAATCTTTGCTGAAAATCGTGATTCCCTTCAGCTTCGTTTTGCGAGTGATCTTCTAATGGAGTTGAGTGCTGGGGTAGAGTTGGCTACTGCAGTTGTGCCACACCTTTTTCTGCCTTTAGCTTGTGCTACCAATGTGGCCAAGGTTCAACCCCTCTCTGTGTCTCTCATTTTCTTCCCATTTTATAAATTCCGTCTGATCTATGTGATGAATTAGCTTTATTGCTTTACTTTCATATTGTTTCACTTGCAGAATGTTGGTGCTGTCACATCAACCTCAACTCGCACTCCAATATACAAAGCCTTTGCCAAAGGAGAAAACATTGGGATGTTACTGCAAAGGGAGAATGTGTTGGCAATGTTGCCAATCTGGTATGCTTCTCCAACTTCAATTACATTTTCCAGAATCTTGTGTTTGCATTGGGCCAATTGAGAACATATTTTGATGGCTGCTATAGTGACTGTCGACACAATTAAATTGATCTGTGTATTTTGTACTTCATTTCCAGTCCTAATATTATTTGGTATGTTAAATGGCACCTCATTGTATATGTTACCGCTATTCGATATAAAAATTAAGACCCCCCCCCCCCCTCCCCTTCATTTCCACTACTAATATTATTTGGTATGTTAAATGGCACCTCATTGTATATGTTACCGCTATTCGATATAAAAATTAAGACAAATAAAAAAAAAGCCCCCCCCCCCACAAAAAAAAAAACCAAACAAAAAAAAACACAATGTGAAATTCATTGGGAACCTTGTCAGCCCCAAAAATAGTAATAATAATAACAATAATTAGAAACAAAATAAATAATCATAATAATAATAATAATAATAATAATAATAATAAACATACAGAAGCGTAATCATGTTATTCCTTTGTTATTTAAGAGAGTATTAATACAGTACTTGTGAACAATTGTAGTAAAACTTATAACTAAACCAAACATAACTACATAAATCTGTAAGCTAAATTGAGTTTCTATTCTCTCACGTCACTATATTAATGCCTATATCCAAAGTGCTTTTAAGGTCCTCCCTGATATAGTTTATTGGTTAAATGAATGGAATGATCTCCAAAACTAGTAGAAAGGTACTAACCACAAAAGTGATTTTTATCATTATGGTAAGTTATTGGCTGAATAAGAAAGAATAATAAGCACTAGGAGCTATGAAGCACGGGTGCGGGTACGAGTACGGTACGGGTACGCCGATACGGCAAAATCCCAAAAAAGTAGGGTACGGGTACGGCTGTGGTAGGCCGATATTTTTTTATTTATTATAATTATAGTTAAAAGATCCAACGTACAAATTGAAGTTAAATATCAAAACTTACGGCTGTGGTAGGCCGATTTTTTTTTATTTTTTATAATTATGGTTAAAAGATCCAACCTACAAATTGAAGTTAATTAAAAAAATAACTAATATTAATAACCTACAAACCTGCATTTTCATCTCTAATTTTTTATTATTAATAACTAATAATAATATTTATGATTATTAGTATTTATGATTATTAGCATTTTCATCTCTAATATTTATTATTAATATTTATTAGCATTTTCAGTATTAATAACTAAAGAAGAAACAAGAAAAATAAATAAATAAATACAAATGAAGAGATATACCTGCGTCGAAGTCGAGGGTCGAGGGTCGAAGTCGATATCTGGGTCGAAGTCGAAGTCGAAGATGAGGGTCGAATCTCTGGGTCGAAGTCAAAGTCGAAGTCGAAGTCGAAGTCGAAGTCTATCTCTGCTGTTTTGAAGTCGATCAATCTCTGCTGTTTCGAAGTCGCAGACGAGGGTGAGTGAGGGTCGAAGTCGATCTTTGCTGTTTCGAAGTCGCAGACGAGGATGAGGGTCGAAGATGAGGGTGAGGGTCGATCTCTGTTTCGAAGTCACAGAAGAGGGAGATGGAGATGGTCGAAGTCGCCTCTCTCTTTGCTTCGATGAGATTGGGGCAACAAAAGTGATGAGATTAGGGCAGTATTCACATTTTTTCCTTTTTTTTTTAATTTTTCTTAATATTGCTCCGGTACCCCTCAATTTTTCAGAAAATTTGGTTTTTGCCCCCGCCGTACCCAAAACGCACCAAAGGCGTACCCCTGCCGTACCCGAGCCGTACCCAACTGAGGCAGAAGTACCCGACTAGTTTTTCCCGTACCCGGTACGCGTGCAGCCGTACCGGTACGCGTACCCGCACCCGGTAAGTACCCGGTGCGTGTACGGCACTATTTTTGGAGTACCCGTGCTTCATAGACTAGGAGAGTGGAAGAAATTGAAGAGGAGATCAACTAATATGCAGTCTAGAGAATGGCAAAGGTGAGACTATATGACCCCTAGAGAAAAATCAAAGGAGGAGATGATATCAACAAAGATATGAGTGCAGGCTCATCTTATTTCCTTGTTTAATTTATTTGATTTATTGGTCAATTGAGTTGTGTTTTTCTTTTGTTTGCCTTTTGTCTTATATGTTGGTATATAACTATCTTGCTAGCAAGTACGTAATGATACATAATGTTTTCATATTTTAGTGTTTTATAGTTATGTGATTGTTTTGTATTGGAGATGTGTAGTTTGGTGCTTGTTTTCAACTGATTGTATTTCTCTCCCCAGTTTGTACTCATCTTATTAATAAATTTTTTGTTAGTAAAAGAAATTTTTATTTTTTTTTTTAAAAAAAGAACTTGAAATGGGTAGGAGTAGCACCAATAGAAGATAAGTTGAGAGAGAATCGTTTGAGATGGTTTGGTCATACTCAACGGAGACCAACAGAGGCAATAGTGAAGAGATGCGATACTGTAACGGTAGATGCAAGTGTTAGGGGACGGGATAGGTCTAGATTAACGTTGACTAGCGTTATAAATAGAGATAGGAATCTACTTAATTTAACTAATGAAATGGCTTTTGATAGGGCCGCGTAGAGAAGAAGGATTCATGTAGCCGACCCCATTTGATGGGACTTAAGACCGGTTTGGTTTGGTTTGGTTTAAAAAAAAGAACTCATCTTGTACATACATAAATTTCTTTAATAAGTATTGTAACTGCAACGCGACCCCATGCGCGCGTGGAATCCAACTAGTTATATTCTGAAACAACTAATAATTATAGCATTTGAAAAAAAAAAAAAAAAAAATATAAATTTCACATTTATATAAAATATTTAATTATTTATTTAATAAAAATTTAAAACCTATAACATTCCTCTTAGCCGTGTTAATAACGACAATATCATAAAGGAGCAAAACGAAATATGGTCATTACAATATACAAAAAGTATTGTCAAGCACAATTTCATTAATTCAAAGGAGGAAAAAAAATCTTTATATTAAAATAAAGGGTGCATCGCAAGTCTCTCGCGAGATCGAATGAATTAAAAAAAAATACAAAACAAATAAATAGATTTAAGATACACAATTTTAAAAAGAGTATATCATATACACTTTTAATTCTATCATTTTTTTTTAGTCACGATTAATTTTGTTCTTTAGTTATGACTCATGCACTCTTTAGTTATACATCATGTTGTGTTTAATTATAACATTTTGTTTAATTATGACTCAGAAAGTATGAAATTATATCATTTTTTTCTTTAGCTATAATATGTATATGGTACGCACCATTTGAAAGGTGTACTATACTATTTCCCTTTAAAAAAAAAAAAAAGAAGACAAATTACACCAGTGATCCCTTATCTTTTGTGTCATTTTGGTTCTTACACTTTCAATTAACTCAATTTTGATTTTTAATTTTAAATTTTGTATCAATTTGATCCAATTAATAATATTGTTAAATTTTTTTTTTTAAAAAAAATCACTAAATTAGTTGCAGTGAACTGAATGAGTCACCCTCAAAGTGAGCATCCCGAATCCTGACTTCACTAGCAAAAGAGAAATGTTAGGAATCATGAAAATTTTTTCATGAAAATGATCATGAAAAATTTGTGATCTTTAGATTACCTTGATTAATGTGTGGTATTTTATTCTAAGTGTAATCCAAAAGTCATAAATCTTTCATAATTATTTTCATGAAAGACTTTTCATGATACTTAGCATTGCTGTTAGCAAAATTCGTAACGTTTAAAGCAGCAAAAGCTTCAGTACAATCTGCCTCAACCCAAGTTTCAATCTTTTCAGGAAGCAACCACTTCCCCGTTGATGTCGCGAATAATAATCCCAACACCGATCGCCTTTTGGTCCCCAAAGACAGCAGCGTCAGAATTCACCTTAAACCACCCTTTCATTGGTGGTTTCCAGGGCACTCATCCTTGATGTCCCTTAACATAGACCCACCCATACCCAATCTGCCCACCCCTAAACCATAATTTTTTGGGGGGAAATAGCATATCAGTTGAAAGATGAAAAAAAAGAATAAATTACACTTTGCTCATTTTATAAGTCACTTTTTCACTTTAGTTTTTATAGTTTATTTTTTCTTTAACTTTTTTTTTTCCAAGTTTTTTCTAGGTAACTCCTAAAACAAATTTTTGTTAAAAATTGGATAAAAATGATACATTGACAATCACATGGTATAAAAATATTTTATTATATACAACTTACACATTTGACACAAATTTAAATTTGAATATAATATTTTTTATTTCATGTAACAATTATCGTGATATTTTCTATCTAATTTTGAATGGAAGTTAATTTTAGGTGTAAGAGGGAAAAAACTTGAAATATGAAGGATCAAAACGACATAAAAAAAAAAAAAATTTAAGAACCAAAATGGGAAAGTAGCTAAACATAAAACGAACAAAATATAATTTATTAAAAAAAAAAAAAAAATACAGATTAATGGTAAAATCTATAAATTTAAATTATTAAATCAAATTTTTTTTCATGCATGTGTAATTATTTTTAAAAAATTGACTTGATTTGTAATTTTTTTATTTTTTTGGATAAATTACAAATATAATTTTTGAAATTTACTTAAAATACAAATTACTTCTTGTGGTTTAAAAAATTACAAATATTTTTCTGTCAGAATTTTTTATTTAACAAAATTAATTGAAAAAGTGAAATTTTTAACTGTTCACCTGTACAATAACAAAATTATATAAATTATTATCGAAACTCAAAACGACATCGTTTTAGATTCTTTTACCGGTAACATGTAATAAAATTCTCTTACTGGTAAGATATATTACAATTCTCTTATTGGTAAGATAATTCAAAACGACGTCATTTTGAATTCGGGACAAATTCGAACTTGAAATATTCGGGCCCTGTAGCAGCGTTGTTTATTTTTACCCTTTTCTGCCCTCTCTCTATCTATTCGAGAGAGCCAATTCCTGCCGCCGTCGCCACACCTGGACCTCATCCCCAGCTCCACCAGCGTCAATCACGCAGCTCAAGCACCGATCTGGAGCTTTTTCTCACTAATCCACTGTAGAGTGCACAAGCGACCCTAAAGATACGCTGTTTTAGTCTTTATCTTTTGTTTTTTCTGTCTTTGTCGGATTCTCGCTTTCTCTCACTGATATGAGCCATTCTCTGATTTTGAGTTTTGCATTCTTGGACAATGTGTGTGTGTTTTACTTTCTTTACAATATTGTAGTGAAATCAATAGATCCTGCATTTGTTTCAAAAAAATTTGCTTCCACTTCTACTTTTACTTTATTTGACTTGAAGGGCAGCTTTTACTACCACTACTGGTTATTTTTAATTTTGATGTGTTAATAAAATTAGTTATCCCCAAAACTAAAGAAAAATATTCACTTAGCAGATTTTCATACGAATATATTCGTTGCTAAGGAAACTAGGAAATGTTATAGTGCTATGATAATGATGAATGTTAGAGTTCATTTCACATGCCCTAAAAATTATCTAAAAATAAAATGCTTCACCCAAATTACTTTATTTTTTTCCTTCCATTTTTACAAAACAAATCTTTATACTACAAACCGTTTCACTAGCACTATTCATCTTCTCTTTTTCTTGCTCGAACCTCCATTGCTGCCACTCTTGCACCTGCGAAACTTACATTTTCAACATCTCCTTCGTGGTCTCAGACCTACATCCTTTCTTCTTCAATCTGTAAGTAACTTAATCCCTTTTTGCTTTCCGTTTGAATAGTTTACATGTACTATATGCGTTTTCCTACAACACTTTTTGAAAATAGTTTTTATCTGAAACGAGTAAGAACAACTTGAATGATACCCATCACTACTAATTTTGCAAGAAAACTGAACTGTGACGTCTTAGATCTGAAATCATACTCCAACCGGACTAGGAAGTAGTTTGTAATAGGTGCAAGCCTTAGCAAAACTGAACAACCGAGCTAAGATTTCATGAATACTTGTTGTTTCAAGTAGGTCTAAGAACCTTTTGCTTTACTTAGCCGAGCTAGCGAATTAGATTAGGTTTGCACAATGCCGCACTAGAAAGCCTCAACCATCAATCGAGCTAAATCTTGGGGCTAAACCAGCTCCCTTAGTTCACACCGAACTAAGATTGTTGCCCCAATGGCTCGACCGGGCTAAAGCCCTTTGCTTAAACCGAGCTAAGATCATGTAAACCGAGCTAGGACTTCTTTAACCGAGCTAGGACTTCATTTATCTTGCCTATATTTCTTGTAGCACGGTCCCATGATCTGTGCTTAACACCGTTCTTTTTTACTTTGCAGACTCTGACTAGGTTGCCCAGTTACCCCTTTGCACGTCCAGCCAAGATATCCATTATCTTCTTGGCGCCGAGCTAATACTCCAGGTTAACTTATACATAATTTAAACCCTTTATGGGGAAATATAGGTTTTTGGTGAACTCACCAGGTGCTATGGCCAAGTTTCGAAGGGATTACCATATCCCTGATGATGTTCATCTCACTCTAGCCGAACTAGATACCGTACCCTGGGGAAACCCTGGCTTTGTTCCCTTTACACTTCTTTCCATTATAGAAACCGGACTAAGATTCCCTGTACAACCCCTCCTTTGCGAGTTCCTCAAACAAACCAATCTCTGCCCAACCCAACTTTTCACAAATTCATACTGCATAATAAATGGCATCGTCGAGCTAAATCGCTGGGCTGGCCTTAACCTCGGTTTAGCCGAGCTCTTTCTCCAATACTCCATAGGATCAAATGAAGATGGGTGGGTTTACTATTTAAGAATAAGGCACCGTCGTGAAAAGATAATAAAAGATACCCCGGATAAGGATGTTAATGACGATGATTTTTTTTGAGTTTCTGGGAATTTTGAAGATCGTGAGGCCCAAATCCCAGGCGACCGAATAAACTAGGACAAAGGAGTTACCGGTACAATTACCTCGGCTCAATTTTATGCTTTCTTTTACCTTGGTTTTCATATCTTGAACCGTACTAACTGTTGGACTGTTCTCCTTTTTACTTCTTGCAGATTTGAACTTTCTCAAGTCCCAGTACAGTTATCCCAACTTAAACACACTTCGCGCCGCGCTGCGATATCCCAATAGAAGTTGGGTCGAGCTACTGGAATTTGAACCGACGTATAGACACAGTAGTAAACGGAAGACCAAGGTGACTGATTTTGTTGGAAGCCTCTCCTGAACTGGACCCATCCTTGCCTGAAATCAACCTAATCCGACTAATTGCTAAACAAGAAATGGCCAAGAAGAGAGCCGTAAGAGCCCTTTAGACCGAAACAAACCAGCTTGAGGTACCACCGACCGGCCAAACACAAGAGGCCGTGGTAGCCCTGCCAACCCATCAGCCTTCAATATCTCGGGCAAGTAAGCGTGCTCGGATTTCTACACCCGAGCCACGCCTTATCGATGAGGATGAAACCGTGCTTCCTCCAACCGCAGTTCCAAGCCCGCAACCTGAGAGCTCGGACCGAGCTAACTCTTCTGATTGGGCACCGAAATTATCGTACCAGAATTGAGCCATCCGAGACACAGATTCAGTGGTGGCAGACAAAGATTACATGCTGGCCTTCAATCTGGCTAAGAGCGTGTGTTTGCCCCCTGATATGGATCATCATGCCCACTTAACCGAGCTAAAAGCTATTCGTTCGACCACTAAATCAATGGTGCTAGTGAGTATTCTTTCCTTTATCTTCCTTTTTTTTGTGCAACTGTTAGCTCGGTTTTTACTCCAATTTGCTTACCATATTTATGTAGGCCATGCAGAAGAACCAGATTGCTCATAAGCGTGTGCTAGAGCTATGCAAAACAACAAGGCAAGCCTTGGCAGAGGCTAAACAGAAGACGACCAAGCTAAACGAAGCCAAACAGAAAATGGCCGAGCTTGAATCTGAAGTCGTACGCCTCACCGGTGTAGTTAACATAGCCGAAGTGGAGAAGCAAAAAGCTTTGATCGAGCTGAAAGACTACACCTACGTGAGCTTGCCAGCATTGAAGAGAAGAAGACGACCGAGATAACTGACCTTGAGAAGAAGATTGGTGATGCAGAAGACCGTGGCTTCAAAGAAGGTGAAGCAACCTACATTCTGCAGTGCAAAGCCGCCAAGGATCTATTTTTTAAGTGCGAGTGGAAGGCAGCAGTGGAACAGCTCGGTCATGGTCCAGAGACTGAGGTTTTCCTGAACCCTCCATCGTACTTCATACCGAGCTGTATGGCGGAGTATGCAGCCGCCATTCAACAAAAATTCCTTGAATCTGAGGATGATGATGAAGAGGCAGTGCCTAATAATGCCCCGGTCGTTGATGATTCTGCCATCCAGCCAGTTCGGGTGGAGCCACCGATTGAAGACTTGACAACCGAGCTACCGGCTGAAACCGGGCTCCGAGTTGAACTGGATGCGGATCTTGATGACCTGTTTTCTTGACTTTGTACTTTCTTCTTTGTTTTGCTATTTTGGAAAGAAGTTGTAACCGGGCTGAGGCCCTCCTTTTGTACTTGATTTGAATCTTTAATGAAATCTTCTTTTGTTGGAACTGTTGTTTCGGTTTACTCTTATGCTTGCCTTTACTTTTCAAAAGTATTCAGAATGTAGTATAACGTTTGCCAGCTGAGATAAATATCTCGGTTTTAGCTTTGCAATCTGACTGGCCATACCTGCCTGTTAACCTCTTTAGCCTTGATCCTTATCTCGGCTAAAGAATAATAAGCGTTGGTTTTTCCAGCCAACCACTCTTCAGCCTAGATCCTTACTTCGGCTGAAGAGTACTAAGTGTTGGTTTTTCCAACCAACTTCTTCAGCCTAGATCCTTATCTCGGCTGAAGAACAATAAGTGTTGGTATTTTCAGCCAATTTCTTCAGTCTAGATCCTTATCTAGGCTAAAGAACAATAAGTGTTTGTTTTTCCAGCCAACCACTCTTCAGCCTAGATCATTACTTCGATTGAAGAGTACTAAGTATTGGTTTTTCCAGCCAACCTCTAAGTTGGTTATTTCTGCCAACCTAGAGTGAAGTGTTTGGCTATTCCTGCCAAACATCCTGCAGCCTGGATCCTTATCCTAGGCTTAGGAGAGGTGTTGGTTATTCCAGCCAACCTCTAAGTTGGTTATTTCTGCCAACCTAAAGTAGAGTGTTTGGTTATTTCGACCAAACGTCCTGCAGCCTGGATCCTTATCCTGGGCTTAGGAGGGTTGTTAGTTTTTTCAGCCAACTTCTAAGTTGGTTTTTCTTGCCAACCTAAAGTAAAATGTTTGGTTATTTCGACCAAACGTCTTGCAGCTTGGATCCTTATCTTGGGCTTAGGAGGGGTGTTGGTTTTTCTAGCCAACTTCTTCAGTACTGATCCTAATCGTAGCTGAAGAAAGGGCAAAGTTGGTTATTCCAGCCAACTATGCTTTCAGTGCACTTAACTCACTAAAACAATCTTTTACAGAAGGAAACAACTATACTGAAAAGAAACTACTTATTTTATTGAGAAAGAAAAGCTAAAAATAAACTAGTTTGAGATTGACAGTGTTCCATAGCCTGGGAATGGCTTTGCCGTCTTCGTCTTCTAAGTGGTGTGCCCCTTTACCAGCAAATCCAACCACTTTGTAAGGTCCTTCCCAATTGGGCCCTAACTTGCCATCTTCGGGTATCAGGGTGTTTCCCATTACTTTGCGTAGTACCCAATCTCCGATCTTGAATTGCCTTGGATGTACGGTCTTGTTGTATTTCCTGGATAACTCCTGTTGGTATGAGGCGATGTGAACCAGTGTTCTTTCTCTTCTTTCTTCTGCAAGGTCGAGCTCTAATGTGATGGCTTCTTCATTTAAGTTTGGATCAAAATTTTTGCTTCAAATGGTGGGGAGGCCAACTTCCAGTGGAATTACTGCTTCCATGCCGTAGGCTAAGGAGAATGGTGTTTCTCCTGTTGATCGTCGAGGTGTGGTACGATAAGCCCATAAAACACGAGGAAGCTTCTCAGCCCACTTTCCTTTTGCTTTCTCTAACATTTTCTTCAATCCATCCAAAATAATTTTGTTTGATGCTTCTGCCTGGCCATTTGCTTGGGGGTATGCCGGTGTAGAGTTGTAGAATTTTATCTTGTACTCTTCACAAAACGCTCTAAAGATTTTGCTGTCGAACTGAGTGCTGTTGTCTGATATTAGCGCTTTGGGTATGTCGAACCGAGTGATGATATTTTGCCAGACGAACTTCTTCACATCTTTCTCCTTGATTGATGCCAATGCTTCTGCCTCCACCTACTTTGTGAAGTAGTCTGTTGCTGCGAGGAAGAACTTTCTGTTGCCGGGTGCTGTCGGAAGTGGTCCTACTATGTCCAAGTCCCACATTGCGAAGGGCCATGGACTAGTTAAAGGTAGAAGCTCTCTGGTTGGCTGATGTATTTGGTGTGCGAACTTCTGACATTTCTCGCACTTCTTGACATACTTCTCCGAATCTGCTTGCATGTTAGGCCACAAATATTCTTGCGAAATTGCTCTGTAAGCCAATGATCTCCCCTCTTGGTGGCTTCCGCATATGCCTTCGGCATATGCCTTCGTGAATTTCGAATAGAAATGCTTCCACTTTGCTGAGGTGAACACACTTTAGGTAAGGTCCTGTGAAGGATTTCTTGTACATTGTCATTGATGGAGAGAGCCAAAAGTGCTGTGACTTTGCTCTTATTTTGTTGGCCTCTTTCTTTTCGCGAAGGGCCATGGACTAGTTAAAGGTAGAAGCTCTCTGGCTGGCTGATGTATTTGGTGTGCGAACTTCTGACATTTCTCGCACTTCTTGACATACTTCTCCGAATCTGCTTGCATGTTAGGCCACCAATATCCCTGCGAAATTGCTCTGTAAGCCAATGATCTCCCCCCTTGGTGGCTTCCGCATATGCCTTCGTGAATTTCGAATAGAAATGCTTCCACTTTGCTGAGGTGAACACACTTTAGGTAAGGTCTTGTGAAGGATTTCTTGTACATTGCCATTGATGGAGAGAGCCAAAAGTGCTGTGACTTTGCTCTTATTTTGTTGGCCTCTTTCTTTTCTTCCGGTAAGATGCCGTCTTTTAGGAACAGTATGATGAGATCCATCCATGAAGGGCCTAGTTTGGCACAACATACCTCTTCTACTTCGGGTTCTTCAATGCTTGGTCTTAGTAGGTAGTCAATTAGCAATGGATGAGGGATAGAGGTATCTGCCATTGAAGCAAAGTCTACTAGTTCGTTCGCTCTACCGTTTTCTTCCCTGCCGATCTGCTTTATCCGCACTATTTCAAATTTCTTGATCTCTTTTCTGACTAACTCTTGGTACTTGGCCATCCTGTCATCCTTTGCCTCGTAGTCACCTGAAATTTGGTTTACCACCAGCTGCGAGTCACTGTAAACCATTAGCTCGGTGGCCTTCATGTAGGATGCTGATTTTAAGCCTGTCAGAAGCGCTTTATATTCCGCTTCGTTGTTTGATGCTATGAAGCCAAGGTTGACTGCTTGCTCTACCATTAGGCCATCTGGTGAGATGAGGACTATGCTTAGTCCTGCACCGTGCCTGTTGGACGCTCCATCCACAAAGAGCTTCCACATCTCTCCAACGAACAGTTTCCAGCAAGTGGAGGGATCAGATGATGCCTTGGGATCAAGAGTGTTGCTGGTGTTTTCTTCAAGGTCCATGTTTGCTGTTTGCTCCTCGCTATCTGATTGTACCAAGTCTTTATTTGTTGGTCAGTCTTGGCTTGGTGTAGCATGGTTTGCTTTTTCCTCCCTTACTTTACTTTGGTCAACCTTAAGATCTGACTGGGTATCCTATACCAGGGGTTGCGCTATTCCGGCGTCAACTTCCAACCCTAGTTCGGTTGTATCAGTCAGGTCGACTGGGCAGATATGATGACTTCCTGGGGTGAATTCTGCGACAAAATCTGCCAAGGCTTGGGCTTTTATTGCAGTTCTGGGTTGGAACTTGATGTCGAACTGTCCCAACTCGACTGCCCACTTCAAGACTCGTCCAGAAAAGTTTGCTCTCTCAAACAAAGCTTTTAATGGAAAAGCTATGAGGACGATTATTGTGTGGGCGTGGAAGTAATGCGACAATTTCCTTGATGCCATCATCAAGACTAAGGCCAATTTTTCCAATGGTAAGTATCTGGTTTCCGCGCCCAACAATGTCTTGCTGACATAAAAGATGGGCATATGTTGGATTCCTTTTGTTCGGACCAACATTGCACTGATTGCATGCTGTGAAACGGCTAGGTACAAGAATAGTTCTTCTCCAGGTATTGGGGTCACTAGCAACGGCGGAGAAGACATGTATTCTTTCAAACTTTCTAGGGCGCGGTCGCATTCTTCATCCCATTCAAACTTGGCCTTTAATGCTTGAAAAAATGGTTAACATCTGTCTGACGACCGACTGATGAATTGGTTGAGCGCGGCTGCCATACCGGTGAGATGCCGTACTTCTTTTACTGAGTTGGGCCTCTCCAGATCTTGAATTGCTTTGATCTGAGAAGGGTCTGCCTCTATACCTCGGTTGGTTACCAGGAAGCCTAGGAACTTGCCAGATCCTACGCTGAACGCACACTTGGATGCATTAAGGCGTAGTTTGTGCTTCTTCAAGATCTGAAACATCTCACCTAGGGCCCTGAGGTAGTCATTCTTATCCTTGCTCTTGACCACCATGTCGTCGATGTAAGCTTCCATTGTTCTGCCTAACAATGGTTCGAACATCTTGGTAACCATCTGTTGGAATGTTGCCCCAGCGTTCTTAAGGCCAAAGGGCATAACCTTGTAATAATATAGTCCTCTTGGCGTTGTAAAAGATGTAATCTCCTGGTCTGGCACATAAATAGTGATCTGATGGTAACCTCTGTATGCGTCAAGAAAGCTAAGACGGTTGTGTCTTGCCGTCAGATCTACCAATTGGTCTATCCGTGGTAGAGGAAAGCTGTTCTTTGGGCATGCCTTGTTGACTGTTTTGTAGTCCACACAGACCCGCCATTTTTCATTCTTCTTTGGCACCACTACTGTGTTGGATATCCACTTGGGATAGTGCACCTCTCTGATAGCTCCTGCCTCTAGAAGGTTTCCCACTTCTTCTGTCACTATCTTGGCGTGGTGGAGTGCTGATCTGCGAGTGCGCTGTATGATTGGTCTTGCAGTTGGGTGGACATTCAATTGGTGACAGATGAAGCTTGCGTCAATGCCAGGCATGTCATACGGTGTCCAGGCAAACACATCGATGTTAGAGGTCAAGAATTTCATGATCTCTATTCTCTCAGTGCTGGACATAGATGAGCCAAGCAAAAAGAACTTATCCGGGTCCTTTTCATCTATTCTTACCTGTACCAAGTCTTCCACTGCCTTCTGTTCAGCGGCTTTGCCAACATCCACAAACAATTCATTACTCTCTGGTTCTTCTACCATCTGAACAAACCCTTTGGCAGCTCGGCTGCCATTTACTGTGACAAAGCATTGCTTGGACATAATTTAGTCTCCATAGACCTCTTCAATTACTCCAGCTTCGTTGGGGAACCGTATTACTTGATGGTAGGTTGACGCTACCGATTGCATGGCGTGCAGCCATGTCCTCCCCAAGATTATGTTGTAAGTGGAAGGGGAGTTTAAACACCCAGAATTCCACTTGTTTCGCCATGCTTCCTGCTCTGACTGGGAGGATAATCTTGCCCACTGGCCACTCTGGCATTGAGTTGAATCCGATCAGGGGAGATACGACAGGTGCCAAGTCTTTGTCTTCCAGTTTCAATTGTTTGAAGGTTTCGTAATACATTATCTCACATGAGCTCCCTTGGTCGATCAAGATTCGCTTGACGTCGTAATCCTTGATGCGGAGAGTGACGACCAATGCATCATTATGAGGGCAATATATCCTTGCCAAGTCTTTGTCTGAAAAAGACATGATGTTCGTGGCCTCTGTTTTCCCCTTTTTAATGATGGGCTGCGCACTTAGTACCTCCCTTAAGTGCTCAGCCTTCTTTATCATTCCTCTGAGCTCACATACTCGCTCAGGTTTGAATACCCCATGTATTACGTTTATCACGCCTTGAGGTGGGGCGTCAGTCAGTGTTCCGTCTGGGTGATCGTGGTTTTGGGGGGCTGGCTGCGTCCCTCCTTCTATGTACCGGTCCAGGTGACCAACTGCCACTAACTCTTCCAGATGTTGTCTCAACGGCGTGCTGTTTTCAGTACGATGCCCCTTTTCCTTATGGAAGCTGTATCGAGATCTTTCGTCGTAGTCCTTCTGTGCCTCTCCTAATTTAGCTGGCCATTTGACGAAAGGTTCATTGCGTATCTCACTGAGAATTCGGTAGATTGGTTTCTTGAATACCGTGGTAATGGCAGTGCGGACTCTCAACCATCTTTTATCTCGGTCCTCTTTGTTGTCTCGCCTACCTCATCTATTCTTGCTTGGACGTTCTACCGTGTTCACCTTTGTCGTAGTCTTCTTATCTGGCGTTGCTGTTGCCATCCTCCTCCACCCGAATATGTTGGTGCACTCTCTCCATCAAGGCCTCCATTGTGAGGGGTGGAGTCATAGTAATCGAATCCCTCAATCTGTTTCCGACTGGAAGTCCTCTTTTGTATTATGCGATGGCGAGATTGGTGGGGCAGTCCCTTATCTGGTTGAACGTCTCCCAGTAGCGACTGTTGTAAGATCTCAACGTCTCCTTGTCGCTCATGTCAATGGAGAGTAGCTGATCGATTTCTACTGGTGTCTTGGTGTTCGTTCTAAACCTTGTCACGAACACCTCTGCTAATTGCGCCCAGGAGGCTATGCTGCCTTCTGGTAGCCTTTCGAACCAGGTTAAACCTAGGTGGCCAAGGCTGGATGGGAATAGGATGCACATCAAAGCCTCGTTCCGCCTGTATACTGCCATGACCTGGCGAAAGTGGCTTGGGTGCATATAAGGGTCTGTCTTCCCCTCGTACGTGGTAAATTTAGGCTGGATGAAGCTTGAAGGTAATGGTGCGTTCTCAATCGCCGGAATGAATGGCGAGCTATGTAGTCTTGCCAGTGCCTTATCTGTTGGTTCGTAGGCAAGGTGCGGTATTGGCATTCCAACCTCGACGCTTCCATGCGTTCGAGGAGCCAACCACTGAAGGGGTTGAAACTCTGTACCGGTCGCGTGCCCTGGCATCCTCCTTCCGTCGTGCCATTTCATCAAGCACAGTCCGTAAGTCGGACGACCTAGGCAACTCCGTTTGCCTGGATGATGTCTGGTGCGTATGTGAGGGCTGATAGGTACTTCCCTCAGTGTAAGACCTCAATGATCTCGTTCTCTCAAACCTGGAGTAACGAGTTCTGGAAGTCCTTGATTGAGTGTCGCCTGTCCTGAGGTTTCTACTCTTTGCTTGTGATGGCGTGGTATGCCTACCACGATCTTCTGAGTGACGAGGAGGCGTATTACTCTTGCGCCCCGCTCCTGTCACCACCCCCTTCCCTTTTATCTGGCACTTCATCAATTCCATGTCCGCCGCCATCTTCCTGATTAACTTGTCCTGCTCCTTTACCCGATCCTCCAAAACTTGAGGGTCGATCCTCCGCCTTTGCTTTTCAGGACTTTGTGAGCGACAGAGGCTATTGTTCCGCCTCCCCCTTACATCCCTCTGGGGATTCTGTCGCTGGGGCTCTAAGTCCGCCATAGGAGGGATAGAGGGCAAACCTTCGCGCCTCCCACCCCCCTCTGGGGTTTGTCCGTCGACGGCGGACTGCGGCAAATTTTCGTTGTGCGCCATTCAATTAGCGAGGGAAACTTGATCAAGAGGTTCTGTTCTTTGTCTGGTCTTCCCACAAACGGCGCCAATTGTACGGGAAAGAAATAAACCTTCTCGTATAATCCTGTTGATCAAGTCTGCGCTCCTCCGTACGACGTCGCTTTACTCACTGAAAACACAAACGTGAGCTAGCCGGCGGGTGTGTGTCGGATACCTCTCCGATGCCTAAGTCAGCAAAATAGACAAATAGACAAATAGACAAAAAGCTCTATGTATTCGGGAATCAAAGTTGTGTTACCCCTCCATAGGTGATGTTATGAGTTTTTATAGGTTCCGTGTGGCACAATCCTAGTAAGACTCTTACTCCTCCATATAGAGTTCTCCTAGGAATCACATTTTTGAAAGATAATGCTTATCACTCAACACCCCCCTCACTGCTTAAAGCAAGTGAGATGGTTTTACCATGGTTGGATGTCAATACGACCGAGATAACATAGCCACGCTAAAGTCGCAGACTAGACCGAGCTCCAACTAGCTCGGTTCTTCCTTTCACTGCGCGTGCACCTCGGTTGACATTCCAACTGGGTTGTCCGAAATCGTGCTACCCACAATGAGTTTGGACCGAGCTAACCACTAGCAAGGTTCTGAGGAAAGCTCAACATACTTCGGCCCAACATAGTATGACCAAGCTAACTGTTACCGCGCCAACCGTGGTGACCGAGCTAACCACCAAACTCCTTCGGACCGAACTAATTACAAGGCCCTTTTACTCAATCCTTCTTACTGTGGCCTACAGAATGGCCCATTACCTAGCTCGGCCAAATTTATATATAAATTACCCTCTCATATGTCGTGTAATTCGTTTTTCTAGTGTTTTACTTTATTTTTTATAGAATTTTTTCATAGTACATTTATAACTTTTCTATGGACTAGAAGGATAAGAAATCAAGGGACTGGTTTGGACTCATGGTGGGAATAAATTTTGACTGTAACGTCGCGTCCTATTAACAAAAGACCACAAATAGGATTAGATTAATATCTCCTCTCCTATCAGCCCAACAATGTAATCCTCATTACCTCATTTGGGATTTGTTATTGATTGGTAATATCACCACGCGGTATCACCGTTATACACAATATTTAATTCAGACAGATTGGAACTCAAACATTGAGAGGCTAGAAGGAAAGTATGGGGTGGCTCTAGTTGAGGGGCCACTGGATCGAATTAAGTTTAAGTTGTTTAAATTATTGCTTATGGCCAATTGGAATGATTTAAAAATTGAGATGTAGTACGAACTTCTCATAGAATTATCTTAATAGTATTCAATGTGGCAAGCTTCACAATTGATCCAATTAAAAAATTATTTGGAACCCACATAAGAGACCAGTCTATTTCTTCTCGCAAAAGTCTAATTCTTTTAGCATTACTTTTTTTTCTTTGTTTAATATGATTTCATTCAAATCAAGTGAATTATATTGCTTGTTTTATTGTGAGGTTTTCTAATATATTATATTGCTTAATAAGTATCCGGTACGTATCCTCAAGTATCCAAGGAGTATCTGTATCTGATACGGATACGATACAGATACATCACCCTATTTGAAGTGTCTGTGCTTCAAAGTCTATGGCTATGATATTAAGTTTCATAGCAATTATACCTTGAAGAATTGTAAGAACACATGCTTGAAGCAATGTAACTACTATGGGTTTCAATACAAATTTGACAAGGTCCATGGCTTTTACAATTGTTTTACCAAGTTACTATTTCCAAAGTCTATTTTTCAATGTTTTCTAATATATTATGTTATCAATATATTATTTACCAACTGTTTTACCAAATGAGAGGAAAGATATCCATTGAACAATAGTGATTTGATAAAACAGTTGTAAAAGCCACGGACCTTGTCAAATTTGTATTGAAACCCATAGCAGTTACATTGCTTCAAGCATGTGTTCTTACAATTCTTCAAGGTATAATTGCCATGGAACTTAATATCATAGCCATAGACTTTGAAGCATAGATACTTCAAATAGGGTGATGTATCCGTATCGTATCCGTATCAGATACCGATACTCATTGGATACTTGCGGATAAGTACCGGATACTTATTAAGTATCGGATACTTCTTAATTATTTTTTCATTAATTTTGGAGTATCGGATACTTAATTTTGAAGTATCGGATACTCCAAGTCATGTTTACTTGTTTTATAAAATTAGAATTGTAATATTTCTTGCATAGAAATATAATATAATTACAAGTATAAATATAAGAATATCTTTCTAATACTTTGTTAAGTTCTTCGATGGGAATAGCATAATGAGTTAAATAATAAAATTTATTAAATTGATGTATCCTAATTATTTCATACATGTCCCCTATAGCTACATAGAAAGTAAGAATTAACAAGAGAATATAACAATAGTAAAATTAAATATCAATAAATAAATAAGCAAGTAAACTTGAATACAATATTTTTCTCTAGTGTCAAAAGAAAAAGCATAAGGACAGGTTGTGAATTGTTCTATTATCGTAATATAAATATATTAAACTTGATATTGAAATGAAATATTTGCAAGACCTATTAAAAATTTAAAAAGTAAACAAGCTACTAGCTTAAATTAATACAAAATTCTTAAAAGTTAGTATTTTGATTATAAAATTACATTGTGGTTTCTCAACGTTCTTTAGCTCATGTGTAACTCACTATTAATAATTTTAAAAAATATATCTTTCACAAACGTATCCTACCCGTACTGGTATCCTATTTTTTTTAGATTTTGTCGTATCGCCGTATTCGTATCATGTCGTATCCGTATCTATGCTTCCTAGGCTATAGAATTCAACGTGAGGAAGTTGTAGGAAACCAACTTGATCACAATCATTGTAAGGGGGATTGAAATTTGGTTCACATCCAAGAGACCAATCACTATCATTTTTGATCTTGTACCCTAGTAATCAAGAGCAACTCTTACCAAATTTCTCATGGGGAACATAAGTACATAGACTGTTGGGTCCGCAGATACCATGGATCTTGCATGGTTCAAGAAGAGCTTGCCACGACGTAGTCTAGGTTTTGCTTCTCTCTTCCAGACTGTATAGTCAAATGTTGCCATCATGATCCATGGTTAATCTTCTTTGAATCCCAGTGCCAAAATCTGCTGCCCTGAACTGAAAGCCGTCATTTGACTTGAAATGGCCTGAGGAATTGAACATTGCAGTTCTGTTATTGGTGAAACTCTTCCTCAAAGCGTCCCAACTGTTTTTCCATGGGTCTGGCCAATAAACGCTAGTTACTTCAAGGTCATCAAAGACAAGATAGAGGATGTTATCATTGTCGAAAAGGAGCTTATAGAAACCAGAAGAATAATTATTTTGGCTTTGAGATGACATAAGCTTTTTGTTTCTGGTGAGTGGTTGGTTGGGAAGAAGGGTATTAGTTGGTGAATCAAAGCTTTGCTAAAGAATTAAACTTTTCGAAGTAAGAAGAATAAGTTTACCATTGTCGTACAATAATAATTGTGTTAAAGAGATTGACTTAGTGCCAGTGGCCCAAACATTGAATTGGCTAGCATCTGTCAATATGAGATTGCCATTTTTTTGAAAGGAGAGTTGTGAGAGTTTTCCATTAATGGGTTGTTCTTAGTTGGCCATCCAGACTATAGTGTGACTCCCATTATACAGTGGTTCACTAGACCAAATAGCAAAGCAATAAGCATTATCCTCGACGGAGTGAAATCCTGCCAAGAATACACTGGTTGGTGAAATCAAAACATCGTCTGGCTTCTCCATGAAGAGAGATGAGCCTTCAGTTAAGCTATATGGTGGTGTTGAAAACGATAGCAATGAGAATGACATAATCATATGAATAATAAAGAGGATCAACATTGGGGTACCCATGAGATGCTTTGCTAGTTGGTTGCGGTTCCCTGTGAGATGGTGGTTGTGTTTATATAGAGAGATCAACTCCATAATATAAGAAATTACATAACCGTTACCATTTTTGAAGTATTTTGTAGTTATGGAATGAATGTTTTGTTGGAACAATCTTTTGTGTAAAATAAATAACTTGAAACCAAATCAAATAAATTACTTACAAAATTTATTTACCGAAGTGAATAAGTACAAAAATGATCAAATCAAGTGTGTGACACTCTGTCCTTAAGACAAATTTGCCCCGCTTCGGTGCTTACGGATAAATGACGTGTATCTCTTAGGATATAATGATCTTTACACAGATTGTAGTAGCACTCTAAAACAATCTGTATGGTGAACTAGAACCTGTGTTCTATACTCTCAAATTTTGTGTCTAAAACTAATATGAAGAAAATATCTATGCAAGAGAGCAAAAATAGAAAGTAACAAGTGAATTTCGGAATGAACTAACTGCTGGAAAAATTATAGTATTTATAAGCAGATTGGTGACCTTCAGGAAATGCCACATGTAAGATTTCAATTTGAATAGGTGCAATTCAAACTTGAACAGATCTGCTAGAAAACCAGTTTGAATTTGTTCGAATTTGCTAGGCAGTTTTAAATATGTTTAGAATAGTTTAATCTGTTGGAAAATAGAAAGGAATTTCGGATTGGTGCAGGCACTTTTTAGACAAAAAATTGAATTCAAATTTGGCTCAAAATTTTAGTTAATTTCGTTTTGAAAAATAATTTTCTCACGAGAATTTTTTGGAATAAATTTAAATAAATTTTGTCTAAAAAATTGATATTAGGATCAACTCGACCTACATTGACGCTCGGTACAGCTCGACTCAGTCGGTCGATGGCGGCTGCGTGCGTATGGTGGTTTGAGCCAAAGCCTACTTTGTCCATAGCTCCTTTTACAAACTTGGGGTGTCCCTTAGGGTCTGTGGGTAACTATATTATGCTTGGCATGTGGCGAGCCCTACGGGCGTTACGTCAACACCACTACACATCTACGTGGTAGACCTCTGAGGCACCATGATGAGTTGGGATTGTATGCCTAGCCTAAACGGGGGCATACGCACCACAAAGTATGAAAAACAGGACCATAACTCACCTTGATAGAGCTGGCTCAACTAGAGCTGTCCATGGCCTAACTTAAGAAATATATTTTCTACCCACTTAACCCAGCTCATCGTAACATAGTTGGACTCTTGGCTCACCTATGTTTGGCTCTCTTATGTTTACTTAAACTGCTTAGGATGAGCCCTTGGCTCACCCATGCACTCACCCTCTTGGCTGCCTAGGTTGGGAGCAGGACCTAGGCACTTTCGCTTGGGATTATTGGAGGATTGTGGATTGGAGGTTAAGACCTTGGGATCGTCAAGGTCGCATAGTTATCTTCCTGCAGTGATAGCTCCCTCTTTGACCTGGCTTAAAAGAAGAGACGTTGACCTTACACTTACATCTGATGCACATATGATACGCCTCTCAAGATATCATGCCTGCACCTGCAGTTCCTATGATGCAACCTTTCCAAGGACCTGAATCATAGGACAGAGCTAGTAGGGTTGATATCACCCTCCTGTTGAGTTGAGGAGAACTTGCCACCTGTCTTGAGGTTGCTTGGGTTCCAATTCTCCTAGAGTCTATATAACGGCATCATAAGTGCGGCCACAAAGACACAACAAGAGTAACAAGAATCACATAACATATATTAAATGTTCAAGGTCTTTCACTGTCACCCATTTTCTCTCTAAGCTTGCCTTGGTCTTCTCCTCTTCCATTTCCAGTGATCTCAAGCCATTAAAGTGCCTACAATCTGCCCAGAGGTCAACGATCGATCGCCTCTAATCTCTATCACCCACATTATACTCCACTGGGGAAGAGTGGTGCCTACTTCACATGGCACCCAAAAAGAACACCGGAACCGGCACAGTGACATCCTAAGGTAGCGGTAGGGAGGCTCTGGTGGAGACCTCAAAACACAACTCCGACGGCTTTTCAAAGGAACAATCCTCTCAACTAGCCATAGTGTAATAACTTCGTGCATTGGTTGAGAGTGTCACCTCTCTCCAACAGAACCAACAACTCTTGATAGATGCCCTATTAAGCTTGAAAAGGGCTCCAACTCAGAATGGAGTTCTGCCATCAGCTCAGAATAACTCGAAGGCTAACCCCGCCCTTCGAAACAACTTGCAAAACCAAGAAGGAAGGTAGACAGCTGTTCCGCACCCCCCATTGGCTTGAAGCCAAGCGCCCTCGCCACAAGTCGGTTTGGTCGGCAGAACTCCCGCCATAATGGTTTCAACTTGCTCTCCGGCTCTTCTATCAGACCAGGTCCTTTTAGTCTAACCCCTACATTGGACGAAGTGAAGGAACACATACACAACCTACTTCAGACAAACAAAGGTCACATTCCTACCTTTCCAAAACTGGATCTTTGTCTCCCTTACCCTATTCATATCGCAAGTCTTCCATATCTGGCAGGATACACTAGACCAAAGTTTGTCCATTTTGACGGACGAAAAGGGAATGCTGGGGAGCACGTTTTGCGCTTTCTCGATGCCCTTGGTGTCTACCGAGAAGACCGAAACGTTCGCATGAGAGAGTTTTCCAAGTCCTTCACAGATTGGGTGTTCTCATGGTACGCCAACCTCGTCGTTGGCTTTATCTCTTCGTGGGAAGACTTGGTGGAAAAGTTCTATATCAAGTTCTTTTACGTCGAAGAAAGGCTAACCACTCTTCATCTTATGAGGGAAACACAACGACTTGGGGAGGACATCCTTGTTTATGTCTGCTGCTTCAAGGAAAAAGTAGTAGACATTCAAGACTCGATTGAAGAACATCAACTGGTGTCAATGTACATCAAAGGGATGCTTATAACTTACAAGCTCCAGTTGATCAATCACTACTTCCTTGACTTTTCTGCCTTATGCGCTGCAGCTCGAAACATAAATGAAACAGTAAGATCGGGGGCATGAAGGGAAGCTTCACAGCCTCATTCATGGTGGGCAACAGCACCTCTACCTTCCTTATGGAGGCCTAACAGACGCAGCCACGAAGTATATGCAACGGAAGGTTCCAATGGAGGAAGAACAAATCTCCAAGCAAAAAAGAGAAAATTTGATCAAGTTCCCCCATTGCTGCCTATCTTGGTGGACGAGGCACAAGCACTCCTCAATGCCTGGGTAGAAGATGAAAAAGTTCATCTCCCTGAACTAAGGCGACTTGTCGCCAAAAAAGATCAAGCACGGGCAGACTACTGCATATACCATCGCTCCGTCAAACGTCCTACCACTGAATGTTGGGCGCTTAGGTCCCTAGTTCGAAAGATGATGGCTAGCAACGCTTTGGAGCTACCTCATTGCTAGATAGAGGACGTCTTAAAAGATCCTCTCCCCCATCACAAAGATAATGGCAAGACGGTCATGATGCTTTCGTATTATGACGAGACGGAAGAACCAATGGTGTGTGAGCTTTCTAAGCTCACAGGTCCTACTTGTCCAAACTTCGAGACTCGGCATACGATAGCACTTAAGAAATCGACAAAGTTCAAATGGTTCTTCGACCAATTTGGCTTTTCTGAAGTAACACGTTTCGAAGATACCAAGGCCTTTTTAAGACTTGCAAAGCAAAATGGTGAGGCATGCATGAGTGTAAGCAGATCGGTTAGGAAAGTGTTCTGAGATAACTCCTTGCCAATAACCTTTACCGAAGCAGACAAGCAAGTATCGTTCCCATATAATTGTCCCCTCTACGTCCTAGTGTTCATCAATGGAATGGAGTTTCAAAGAGGATTCATGGATAGAGGGGCTTCACTCAATGTAATGCCCTATTCTAGTTTCCAGGTAGTCTGGATCTCATAAAAACACCTAGTCAAACAACTAATTTCCATCACCGGTTTTGGAAATCAAAAAATCAAAACCATAGGGCATGTCTAATTAGACTTAGCAGTAGGAACAATCCGTTCCACCACTAAGTTCCATGTCATAGAAGCTAAGACGACCTATCAGGCTCTCTTAAGGAGAACTTGGCTTCACAGATACGCCGCGATCCCCTCCACCTACCACAATGTGTCAAAGCAATTTACAACAATGAGGTAGTAGCCATAATTGGCTCTCAAAAACCCTTTCGGGTAGATGAAGCTTATATGGCGGACGCAGTTTTTACAATCACGTTGATGGGGATGGGCCCCCCTTGCCGCTCCGAAGGACTCCCATACCAAATTGGGATGACCTCTCTGAAGAAGATGCATCACCACCTTGTAGAAAGACGTTCGCCAAGTCAAAACCCTCAAGAAAGCTCCCTAAAGTAATGAGGTTCCAAACAAAGGATGGCAGAGTGGTATACTGTTTATGACGGTCCCTGGGGTTGGCAAGTGCCACCAATGCCAACCCCCAGCCAGACGAAGTAGCAATCGCTTGTCACAAACCAAATGAAAAAGATCACATTTGCTACGCTCTGTCTACACTGGCCTAATGTCCTCCAAGGGCAAAGAATAAAAAAAAAACAAAGACAAGAGAAACATAAAGGAAAAGAAAGCCATGGCTCTTTCAGTAATAGAAAAGCATTTTGGCAAATTCAATGGTCCTTCAACAAGTCACTTGGATAGAGCTGGGGGCTCAAAAGTTGAATTCCTTACTAAGGCATCCATTTCATCCCCTAACCAAGCTCCCGCCAGCTCGGTTGTAATCCCAAAGAAAGATGAATTACAGAGGTTAGGTCTGCTCCAGAATGCTTACAAGACGGCCCTCGGCCCTAAAAACAAGAACTAGAAGAAATCAACATAGCCCCTGAAGGAAAACCCAAGCGTCCTGTCTTCATTTGCAAAGATTTGCCAGAAGAACATAAAGGGCCCCTCGTTGAGCTAATTAAGAAGTATTCAGACATTTTTGCGTGGACATATGAAGAAATGCTAGGCCTAGACAAAGAAGTTACCATGTACCACTTGAACGTCATCCCCCTAGCTCGCCCAGTCAAGCAAGGTGTCAGATTTTTATAAGCCTGAGGTAGAGCTCAACATCAAGGACGAGGCAGCTTGGAGCAGGGATTCATCAAACCTATCCACCACCCCACATGGCTTTCTAGCATCGTCCCAGTCATAAAAAAGAATGACAGATTCGAGTGTGCATCGACTTTAGAGACCTGAACAAATCTTGCCCCAAAGATGAGTTCCCACTCACAAACATAGACACCTTGATTGATTTAGCAGCTGGACACCATATTTTTTCATTCATGGATGGTTTCAGTGGCTACAACTAGATTAAGATGACTCTAGAGAATGCCCCCAAGACGGCATTTCGCATTCCCATAGGTAACTTTTTCTATACCGTAATGCCTTTTGGATTAAAAAACACAGGAGCAACATAACAAAGAGCTATGGCAGCTGTTTTCCACGATATATTGCATAAAACCTTGGAGTGTTACTTTGATGATTTGGTGGTAAAATCCAAAGAAGAAACTATTCACCTGAAAAACCTCCAAAAAGTCATTGAACGTTGCAAGAATTACAGTTTTTTAATGAACCCGCTTAAGTGCGCGTTCGGAGTCATTACCGGCAAGTTCCTTGGCTGCATTGTTCACCACTACGGGATAGAACCCGATCCAGCAAAGGTCTCCGCCATCAGAAATATGCCACGACCAACGAATATAGACAAGTTGAGAACCTTCCTTGGCCGGGCATCTTATCTAAGACGGTTTATCTTTGCTATAGCTGAGATAACACAACCCTTCAACTCATTGCTGAAAAAGGATGTCAGGTTCATATGGAATGAGGTGCACCAACAAGCATTCGAAGGGGTGAAGTCAGCTTTAACTTCTCCTCTCTATGACTCCTCCTCAACTGGCGAGGCCTTTACTCTATATTATTTCTACACTGAAGTCAGTTGGAGCTCTACTCGCCCAGGAAATCGACGGACTAGAACGACTTGTATACTACATAAGCAGAGTTATCCAAGGGGCTAAAGTCCGATATTTCCCCATTGAGCGACATTGCCTCGCCCTAGTCTTCACCGCCAAAAAGCTTTGACATTACCTCCTCTCTTACCCCATCCATCTCATGACCAGGAGTGATTCCATTTGATTCCTTCTCATTAGACTAGCTCTCTCCAGTAGGCCAGCTCATTGGCTCCTCTCGTTAGTAGAATATAGTATCACATGTAAAGCCCCCAAGGCTATTAAGAGCCAAGCGCTAGCCGACCTCTTGGCTCACTTCCCCAACGAAGAATATGAGCCGCCCTTAAATGAACTGCCAGGAGATGAGTTCCAAGCCGCTGAAGTAAACGCTGAAGGAGAATGGAGTTTGAGCTTTGATGGATCATCCACTTCCAAAGGAGGAGGAGCTAGAATAGACTTTCTTTCCCAAACCAAACCGAAGTCAATTTGTTATATAAATTGGATTTTAGATGCTTTAATAATGAGGCAGAGTAAGTCTCTTATGTTTCAAAGGCGACTCTAATCTGGTGGTCGAGCAGACCAATGGAGACTATGCTATCAAAGAGCCTCCTCTGGCTTCATACAAAAACATCGTCCAAAGATTGACAAACAAATTCGACATGGTAAGGATAGAACATGCTCCTCGCTCCAACAACCGACACCCGGACGCCCTCTCACCTTGGCTTCTAAGGTAGAATTCTCAGAAGAATCAACCAAGATAGAAGTTCTGAAACGCTCCGCGCCATGCTCAGTAATAACTATCTTCCCTGAAAAGAACCCGCTGATTGGAGAGCCCCAATCATCGATGAGCTCTGTGCCCCTTCAAGTAAACTACCTTTGAGTAAGACCAAACACTTCACAATTTACCAAGGAGTCCTCTATTAGAGGGGACTCAGGGGTTATTGGCACGATGCATCAACCTTATCAAAGCCAATTCCAAGTTAGAAGGGGTTCACAATCGCTCTTGTGGGACATGAGATGCAAGCCTTTGCAGGAGGCTACAACGACAAAGATATTATTGGCCTACCATGGCCAATGAAGCAAATGGCCTTCAAGGGAAGTGCACCAAGTGGAGTTCCCTCCAAAGGCTGAATACAACTTCATAGAAATCAACTCCGACTGGCATCCGGTATATATAGATTACCTCAAAGAAAAAGTCAATGCCACTGCACCGCTCCGCAGCCGCAATAATCAGGAAGCGAGCTTCGAAATTCTTTTTGCAAGAAGGGCAACTTTTCAGGCATGGCTTTGATGGGAAGCCATTACGGTGCCTATCCGGAGCAGAAATTCATAAGGTTTTGGAACTTGCTCATGGATTGGAGCACCAAGGTGGAGCGAAACTGTTCCAACATCTCTTATATATAGGCTATTATTGGTTTACCATGGAGGCGGACACCAAAATGTACACCAAACGCTGCAAACCTTGCCAACTCCATGGAAATCTAATTCATGCAGCCACTGATCTACATAGTTTGAGCCCACCATGGCCTTTCCACACGTGGGCTATGGATCTTATTAGCCCCGTCTCTCCACTATCAAGGCGACACATATGGATTGTGACGGCTATAGAGACCTATACTAATTGGGTAGAAGCCATCCCTCTAAAAAAGGCAACAAGAGCCGCGGTCTCCAATTTCATCCAAGAATTCATCATATGTCGTTTCGGTATACCTAGAGTAATCTTTTCAGATAATGGGACCCTTTTTGTCAACAGCCAAGTTGGTCAACTCCCGGTCTCCTACGACATCACACACCATAAATCAACGCCTTATTATTCCCAAGGGAATGGGCAAGCTGAAGCAACCAACAAAACACTCCTTAGAATCATTTCAAGGACTCTCAAGGATTATCAAAGGGATTGGGCGCACATGCTCCCAATGGCGCTCTGGGCTTACAGAACATCCAAAAGACGGCCAACTCAGATGACCCCATTCTCATTGGTATATGGCTCGGAAATAGTTCTTCTAGTGGAAATTGCCATACCCTCAGCTCACATGGCCTTCTGAAGTGGAGTTACTCTAGACTCTAGACCCTCAGAGTTAGAGATCCTTGATGAAAGAAGGGATACGGCCCAGGCTAACCTCAAAGTTTACCAAAGTCGCATAGCTCGAGCCTATAACACTTTGGTACGCCCCAGACAATTCCAAGAAGGTGACTTGGTACTTCATGTTGTACCTCACGTCATAAGGGGAATCTCTACCCACAAGTTCACTCCCAAATGGCAAGGACCTTATATAGTAAGAGAGGCCAATCAGAATGGTTATTATAAAATTTTTGAACCAAACTCACAAGCTCTCTTGAGCCCTATCAAAGCCAAATGGCTAAAGGCCTATTTTCCTTAGGATGAAAGTGAGGAATCACCCCTAAGAAATTTCTTTTTACTAGCGTAATCAAAATGGCAATGTACATCATCAACTCATGCTTGTGATAAATAAACAATCATTTGCTATCTCTATTCTCATTGCACTTTATGTAACTACTTACAATCATCAAAAGAAATTAGAAAAAAAAATGAAAAATAATAAATAGTACTTAGGGTTTTTCATCACAAACATGTTAGCTCAACTCTCCATCACATGAACAAACTCTCTAGTACAAAAAACTTTTCAGCTCGCCTAACTTGGACCTATTTGGCTATCTAAGTTGAAAACGTCCCCTTCCACACTGACAAGTTGAGCCTCTACAACGGCTCTCCTCTCCCTCAAACTCGAAATCGCCAAGTCCACATCTGCTAGCACCTTAGTTGCCCGCTCTAACTCCACCACGGCCTTCTCCCTAGAAGACGCCGACTCCATCAAAGCCCTGTCCATTTCTGCTAGCTCGGTCTCGAGATGATGATTCTTTACTTGAGCCTCCATGTGAGACAAACTCTCTCTCAGCCAGCTCACCTCAAACTCATGCCACTGAAACTCAGCCACAATAGCCTGAAATGACTAAAATGTGTCAATAGAAGTCTCCGGAGTAAGGCCATGAAACCCCCTAAGCATATCGCAGAATGCCTTCAACAAATAACGTCTTAAGAACACAGCTTCCAAACGCATAAAAGTGCTCGGCCTATGATCACAAATAAAGTTCAACCTAGGCAAATACTCGCCTCACACGCCAGCAAATAGCACATTGGGATCAAGAACCCACTCCCTATTATCAGGCCCTGCCAAGGATATACAACTATCATCGAGATGAGTCACAGTAAACTCACCATCCTCGGAAGGTAAACTCACTTGACCGCCACGGCCAATGCTAGAAACAATAGTCTCATCTTGAACACAACTGCCATCAAATTGCAAAACGGTAGCAACTCCAGACAAAGCAGGCAAAGTACCAGGCTGAATATCTACTAAAGGCGGGCTAACCTGAGCACTAACTGAAGGTAAACTAAGACGAACATCAACTGATGACAAGGTACTACTCCCACTAAACAAAGAGATGGTGAGGACTCCAAAAGGCAAGCAAGGGCTAAACATCAGACAAAGGCAACCAACCAGTCGGGTCATCAACATCGACCTCCCCAAGCCCAACTGAATGTGCCACCGGGTGACCTAATTGCAGCAAATGAGGCGCAAAAGTCATTCTATTCTCAACACATGGCACAATAACCTGAGATCTCATACTATCAATAAGAATGTCTACCTACTCGAATGTAACCCTAGCAACATCACCATTCCTTGCATTCAGATTAGCCTCTAAGCTATCCCCATCGTCACCCTCACTTTCGGAATCACTGAAACCATTAGCCTTACTTTGTCCCTACAACCGATGACGCGAAAGCAAATCATCAGCAGAGTTTTCCCTTTCAAAAGGCACACCCATCACCCTAGGCGCCACAAAAACATGAGGAAGGATAGCTGACCTTTGTACCTGAAGAAACAAAGCGTCCAACTTAGAAGCACATAAAGAAAACTTAACAAGAAAGAAAATCATGAAAATAGAATAAAAGCTAACCTTCATTCTCTAGGAAGGCTCCTCCCTAGACAGGCTCAGGCGCTACTTAGTTGTACCCATTTCCCCTCGAAAACCGTCTACAACAACTACCTTCGCCTGACTCAACATATCAGAGTGTAACTCTAAGTGCGCAAATCGAGACAACTCACCCCTAGCCAACTCGGTTCTGCCCTTCACGCGTGGTTGACATAGTTCGTTATCCGACAAGATGCATACAAACTCTAAGTCCCCAATATCACCCCTAGAAACTCTCAAAATGCAGCAAAAGTCTCCCTCTAATAATATCGCCAACCAACTATCACCCCACCCACACAATCAGCTCCCATTCGAATATACTCGCCACACTTCTGGAGCCTCGAAAGATGAGTACGATAGAAGAACTGCTCAAAAGCATTGGCTACATGAAGGATTACGCCAGGACTAGGGACCCTCTGATCAAATTTGAATTGGCGAGCCACTCTTGCCGGATTATAGGATATTGAGCCATAAGCTTCTCCTACAAATAAGGCAAGGAACGTGATTAGAAGCTACAAGCCGTTATCGTCTCGGCATTACTCAATCGACCATCAAAAACCACCTTGGAATCTCCTGAGTCATACATTCGAGAAGGAACCACCCCGACAACAGGTGGAACATACAGACGATCTATAAACTTACTTTCATCATCAAATATATCCATCAACGGCCCCCAAATGCGTGTCTTGTACCACTTGGCAGCTCGGCGCTCTCACCCGTCCCGTGCTCAAAATCAGTCGGTCTAGGAGCAAGCCTAAGAAACCGCTCATATAAGAACATCTGAAGGAAGGAAGTCGATACATAATTAATAACATCATACCGACCCTTCGACTTCTCTACTCCAACTTGATACATATCAAGTCGTCTGTATAGAGTCCCCAAAAACAGTGGACCAAATGCAAGCAAAAGACCAGTTGCAAGATAAAAAACAATATCAAACACAGACGAGTCTACTCTATCCTTGGCTGATCCCTCCAAGATATACCGACTCAACCAATATGAAAGGAAAGCAGCAAGGTAAGTAGAACTATGCTTATACTTTTCATATCCAGGCCCATTTACCTCATCTTCCCCTATCTCGGTTCCTCCCGTCAAAGATGGATTCAAATCTCGATACCAATACCGTAGCCATCCCCCAAAGGTATTCTTACAATGCTCCTAACGCTGTGGCCCAAGATACTCTCCTCTTTTATCATAGCCGCTCAATAGGAATCCTGCCTCCGAAACCGAGGCTTTCAGAATCAATACAATCTTTAGATGACTCGGAACATATGTATTAGCAAGTGAATCTGCTATACCAAGTAGAGGCAAACCAGTCAAAGGGCAAACATCCTCCAATGTAGGCGTCAATTCCCTCTACCGAGTAACAAAGGTGTGAGAACTAGAACTCCAACCGAAAAATGCCACAATCAACCATGATGGCTCCCTCCTCACATTCAGCCCAGTACTTGCCACTACGGCACCATACACACTTGCGTTAATTAAAAGCTCCTTGAAAGAAGGATCAGTTAGCACCTCATTAGCCCAAGTATCAAAACCCCCACCATTCTTAGTAAAAGCATAACTATTATGAGCTGGAAATGCATACAAGTAAAGGCTGTGCTCTATGTGCAACCGCATAATAGACTTGGGAGCTATCATCCTCTCCACTCCCTTTTCTGCCTCGGGTACTCCCAATAAAACCTAAGATGGATTAACAGTTCTCTTATCCTCCAACTGTTGCCAGAATTTGTCCCTAACTCCAAAATAAGGAGCATGTAACCAGTGCTCGACAGAAGGCACTTCAGAAGCCTCTTTCCCACTTACCTTGCTTGGTAACTTTTTGACGGCTTTCTTCGACGGACACACAACAGCTTTCCCCTTCATCCTGAGTAATCAATTTCTACCTACATCATGCCAAATCGCAACAAGTTTCGTATTCATGAATCATACTTATACAAAAAATTAAAAAAAATAAAGATAAAAATAAAAATAAAAATTAATTAAAAATAATAATTAATTAATTTAAAATAATGAATAAAAATAAATCTTCCAACTACTAGCTCTCCCAACTTTAACTTCTAAGTTCTCTCAAACCCCTGAAACTAGCTCTCTAATTTTGTTGGCTCACCAATATGAATAGAGTTACATTCTCTTTATGGCTTCCTCAAGTCACCCAATTCCTAGCTCCCAACATGGGGCAGACCAAATTTTGGTTCTAGCTCCCCAACATGTGGCGGATCAAAGTCTTGGACCTGGTTCTTCTCCTCATTCTTGGCTCGCCAATGTGTAGCTCTAAATACACTATTCTCATGTGATGCTGGCTCCAAATATACCTTCATTAGTTTAGACTTTGTTAATGTAATGACCCAAAAATTTGTTTTCTTTTTTTAAATAATCAATGCATAATTTAATTGAGCAATATTCGGATTTAACAACTATGTAAAATTTTGTGTAAAAATAGTTCGGGTTTTTTTTTATTTTATTTTTATTTTTATATAGTTCTCGTTCTCAGAAAATTTTAATTTTTTGTTTTGTTTTGTTGTTCCCCTATGAGTCTAGCACGCTGGATAAAAATTTCAGAAGTTAATTGATGAGTATTTATTTTATGAAAATTCGTGGACTGATTGGTAAATTTATAGCGGAATTTGAAATTGAGTTTTGGGTGTTTAGACCATGACTTGAGATAAAGTTTGTTGGGTCTACTTTGATATATAATTGGATGATGTTTGGTTTGAGTGAGAATTTAATTTAAGATCCATAATTTAAATTTAATTTGATTTGAGTTTGTTTAATAGTACATGTTTAACTGTTTGGTCCTTTTTAATTATGTGATTGGTAGTAACTACCTTGGGAGTTGCTATTATTTATTAGATAAGAATATAATAAATATTTGATAGTTGATTTTATGGTGTGTACCATATGGTGAAAAATTATGTATTTTTATAGTGAATAAAATGGGTATATATTTCATAGTGAGTAAAAGATTATATTTTGTGGTGTGTAAAAATGTTATATTTTGTGATAAAAAAAATTATATTATTTTATGATTTATATTATAAAATTTTAATATATTATTACAGAATTAATATATATATATATATATATATATATTTAGAAACAAATTTTTAGGAAGACAACCCACGTGGGGCTGCCCTCCTCCCTCTTTCCTTGTCCCTTCTTTCTTTTCCTTTCCTTTTCTTTTCATTTCTTTTGTTTGGTTTGGCAGAGAGCTCAGCTCTCTCTCTCTCTGTTCTCCATTGTTGCTCAATCTTTGAGCTTCAAATGAGAGTCCTTAGAGTGAGATTTTACAAAAGTTTTGTAAATAAAAGTCTGAGAGCTCGTCGTGATCTTCGTAATGATAGTCTCGGATTCATGATTGGGTGAAGTGTGCCTTTCGGATTTGCTCCTCTTCATTATTTGAAGTAGGAACTTTCTTCATATTATTACTTTAAAACTATGTTAGGGATTTTTTGAGAAAATATATTATTATAGGAGGCATTGCATATATATATTTCTCAGATTTTCGTTTGGTAAATTTTTGGAAGAACATTATGTTGAAATATTAAGAACATTGATTTTTTTGAACTTGATTTGGAAAAATCTTGTGTTGATCATTTTTGCTAAAAATCTGAAATTTAATTTTAATAGTTGTATGGGTTGTATCTATATCATATTATGATTAGAAAATTTATTTTGAAAAGTTTAAAGTTGAAATATTTTTCATCTTTGATTTTGGAATTTATTTTTAAGAAAAAATAAATTAATGTTGATGAATATTGTGTAAATTTTTAAGTTGAAATTATAGAGTTGTTTTGGGATTAAAAACTCTAAAAGTGTTATATTCATAATATTTTATGAAAGATGATATGTTGATGATTAAGTTGTGTTCATTTTTGTGAAAATGAAAATGTGAAATGTGGACTTTTGAACTCACAATCTTGAAAATGTTACTCTTGGATATATTTCATAATTTTTTATGTAAATATCATGTTAATTAGGTAATTTTAGAAAAAGTTGTGAAATTGTTATTAGTAGAAAATTTGGGAAGAAAATTAACTTTTTAAGTAGCTTGGCATGAAATATGGTTATGTTGAAATATGGTTATGCTTGATAGATGAGGCATTTGAAGTTATGTTTGGTATTCTTAATTTGAATTTTTTTTTAATATAATGGACTTACTAATTCAATGGATTAAATTAGTTTGGTTAATATTTTATATCCTTTATGATTAAAAGTGTGTTATTGAGGTTATGCCATAACTTTTAATATAGTAGGATGTGAATGGTACTATTCGATAAGTATGAGATTTTTTTGAAAATCATATTGATTATCTTAGTTGAGGTGAAACAAAATTGATAGAAAGTTTTGTGCGAGTCAAAACAATTTGGGAATTTGATTAATAGTTTTAATAATTGGTGTACGCTAATATGTTGTTTTTGATCATCAAATTCATGTATGAGATACTTGAATTGTAAATTGAGGGTTTGGTTAAATTGGGAGTTGATTACCTATAATCTTGCTATTTAATGTATTTTCCATATATAAAATTACATGTGGGTATTTGAAAATGCAAAAGCCCCAAATCCTAAATGTTAATGTTTTGGGAGTTGTTAGATTATTGAGAAAAGATTTTTGTTTGGTTTTAAAATTGAGCATTTGATTGGAAAGCACTTATGAAACTTTTGGAATGTCGAATATTGGTTACTCCTTTGAAATGTTGAGTTTGATGGGAAGTTATATATGTTTTGAAAATTTGTCTTTAATAAACGTGGAATATGGATTATTTCCAAATGTTGGGAATCATGAGAGAATTCTAAGTTATGGTTGCATGTTGGATTATATATCTATGTGTTATCTTTTTAATTCATACATTAGAGATAACTGTTTTGGCTTTTGGTGGAGGATTACCATGTTTGCTTTTAATGAGGGATTTCTTGGAAGGATGATAAATGTTGAAACTTTGAAAGTTTGATACGTAGTATGTTATAGATTTGTCTTAAAATGACTAAATTGGAAATGTTAATTAACATGTGGAAACTATATGAATGTGGATATTGTTGTATTATCTCTTGGAATTGTATTATGATATTACATTGACAGAGATATAAAATTTGATCATAATGGAGCATTGCGTGGTGGAATTGAAATTGGAACTATTCTAATGCATTGTTACATATTGTATTGCCATTCCATTTCATTGTTATCATGGATTTCGAATTGTAATCGGAAACTATTGTTTTGTGAAAGGAATTGTTTTTGTGAAACAAGATCATTTTGATTTGTTTTGGATAAATATATTAGTAAGTTTGGATAGGGGGTGTAGTTTGATATTGGTTAATTTGGCCTGAGTATCCATGGTGAAAGACCGAAAACATGCGTGGAGGAGGTACCACGTGGCTTCCAGTGAGAGACCGATAAAGTGGAGATTTGGTAGTGCTCGATATGCCTACTTGCAGATACCAGTCTAGGGATTACCTAAGTCGTATTTACTACCTTGAAGTTATATTGACATTGTTCAATTAATATGTTTTCAAATTGGCATTGTGTACAAGATTTTTAAAAGATGAGAAAAATATTTTATGTATGACATGACATATGCATTCATCACATAAGACTGTATAAAATATATTTGATGCTTTGTTAGATGTCATTCTGAATTGTTTAATTATTTGATTCAATTGACAATGGGGTAATTGAATAAACTGAAAAGCAAGTCATGTTGCTATTGAAGCATGTTTATTTATTTGAATTAACTAGTTGTGGTTAATTAAATAAATTAGATTTAAGAGATTATGTGATAGAATCATATGATTTTGACATGATATGATTTCACGTATATGTATGAGTATCTTTGTACCCGCATATCTCTAATGTTAAAATATGAGATTGTTTGGTGAGCTAGTGGTTGCTCACCCCTTACCTGTACATGTGTACAGGGAGTGTTTTCAAATTTAAGGATCAAACAACTTGGCATGGTTATAAAGTGGTAATGAGAAGTAGTGTTTTTTAATTGTTTCTTTGGCTAAGTTCTATGCTTTGTAAACGGCAACGCTCTCTTATTGATTATAAGTCTCATGACATTTCTTTTATTTGTATGTAAATGTCTGTATTATGTAACGAGAGGGAACATGTATATTTAATTATTCACGATTTCATCAAAGGAAGATTTGTCATTTGTAAATTGACTTAATTAATGAATATTGGTAATGTTATCCGAGTAATAAAATACGGAGCGTGACAATTAATTTTACAACTCTCCAATATTTTATTATTATTTTTTAGAGCTCTCCAATTTCATAACTTTCCAATATTTTAATACTATTTTTAGAGCTCTTCTCTCATAACCCTTAGAGCTAGCTTCCAATTCTCTTATGAATTTTACTAAATATCCAAAGCTAAACCTCAAACGTGATAGCTCACCAATTTCTTAGCTCTCCATATTAGAGTTATCTAATTCATAGTTCTCCAATATTTTATTATTATTTTTGGAGCTCTTCAATTTTTACAACTCTCCAATATGTATTTATATATATATATATATGTATATATTTTTTTAGAGTTCCCTAATTTCTAATTTTCACATATTTTATATTATTTTTAGAGCTCTACCTCTCATAGTCTTAGAGGCTAGTCCATTCTCTCATTGAATTTGCTAAGTGTTCAAAGCTAAAGCCAATGAGTAGTATAATTTTTTAACTCCCTATTAGAGCTCTCTAATTCTAATTCTTTTATATTTTTATTATTTTAATAAGAGTATCCCAGTTTTTACAACTCTCTAATTTTATTATTATTTTTTAGGAACTCCATTTATATTCCTAAATAATATATTTATCTAGGGCTCTCGAATTTAAAGCTAGCTCCCAATTCTTGATGAATTTTCTAAGTGCTTGAAGTTAGAGGCCTACTTGTGAAGCTCTCAATTTCTCTAGTTCCAATATTTTATTATATTTTAGGTTCAATTTTCAACTCTTTAATATTTTACTTATCATCTAAGAGTCTCTCAATCCCACTCCCAAATGTTTATTAACTCTCTAATTTTTTATATTATTCTAGACGGGATCTCCTCTCATAGTTTTAAGCTTTAGCCCAAGTCAATCTCATAATTTTAAGTATCTACACCAAAACCCACATCTTCCTAAACTCCATATCTCATAGTTCCATTTTAATGTATTTTAGATTCTTCCATCCAACTCGGCTATCTCCTCTTAGCAGCTCTCACCATTCCTCACATTCTAAGTGTAATCTCCTTTATAGCTATCATATTTTATTTTCCGGAGTTCCCCATTTTCATAGCCTTCTTTATTTATTATTTGTAGAACTTTTTTTTTTTTTAACTCCAAATTAGAGTTTCCTTCATAGCTCAGTAGTTCTCAATTCTCTCATAAATTGGCCCAAGTTGTAGTTCTCCAATTCCAATGACTCCTCTAATATTTTATTCTAATATATTACTATTATTCTCTAACCATTAATTTATTCTAATATATTACTATTATTCTCTAACCATACAGCTCTCCAACATATATTATTAAGTTTAAAGCTTTCCAACCCTTTAGCCTTTTACCAAAATAATATTTTATTATTATAGACCTCTCTAATTCTCTGAAATACAGTCTTCTATTATCGAATTGCCTTATCAAAAAAAAAAATTTAACTAAAACATGGCTCACCAATTTTTTTTAAGACTCTCCAACAACCTTTTTTTATTATTATTCATCTAAAAAAACAAAAAATCAAAAAGTCAATCGATATATATATATATATATATATAAAAAACACAACTCAAATAAACTGAAAAGAAAACCATACCTTCACAAAATTACGGTAGCCCCAACTGAGAGAGCTCCGAGAGTATCTGCCAGTCCCGATCTCGGCTCTTCTTTTTTCACCTTCCTGGTTCACTGCTTCTCTTAAACTTCACCCGCAGCACTAACCCCTCGATACCCTCACTTCACTGAATTGCAGCACCCTTGCGTCCTTGCAGCACCCTTGCGGCTTCGTAGCACCCTTGCAGCTCGCCGCAAGTGACCTCCCTGACTCGCTGGCCCCCTTCTTTCCTTCTCTCTCTCTAACAGCTCGTATTTTTTTTCCTTTTGTGTCTTTGGTGTTTGACCAACTTCTCTCCTCTGATTCAAAAAACCCACTCGTTAACACAATCCTAACACAGAATCAAAACTCTACAACCCACACTTGACTCAACAGGACAAGTGACTGTCGCAGCACCCTTGCGGCTCACCGACGGCAACCTCTGCGACTCGCCGGCACCCTTCTTCCCTCCTTTCTCTCTCTACCAGCTCGCCCCCCTTCCCCTTCGCGACTTTGGAGTTCGATTCAAGCCCTTGCAGCCAATAATACAAAAATCCAGCCCCTCACAGATCAATTCTGCAACACTAATGTGAGAGAAGCCGCGGCTCCTTCGCAGCACACAGCCCCTCTTGTGCTATTGGACCTCGCTTCATAGCTCGACGGCGGCGACCTTTCTCCCTTCCTTCGTGGATGTCGGCACTCTTCTCTTTTCCTCCCTCTCTCCAAAAACCAGAACCCAACTTGGGAAGAGAATGAAGCAACCCATAACAAACTTGGAGTGAGAAGAAACCCAGACCTCAACTTGGATTAAGAGCCTATGGAAAACCTAGACCCAAACTCAAAAGAATAGTACAACAAAACCCTAGATTTGCCAAACAACTTTCTTAATGTTACATTAATCCAAGAAACCAAGTTGTGGGTAACCAAGTCAACAAAACACCCTTATGTACAATGGGTAAAAGGAGGAGGAACCAACCAAAAAATACAAAGCTCCTATCTGGTCTAGATTCAAATATGTATATATATATATATATATATAATAATCCCTACACAATGGGAAAAAGAAGAAGATGGAAGAAGTAACCAGAATACACAAAGCTCCGGTCAAATTCAAAATACACAAAATACATATTTTTGTAAAAAGGCGAGCTCCCTACTCGAACAGTTCGAACAGGTTCAAACTACACCCATAATATACACAAACTTTTAGGAATTCATACAAAGTATAGGTTCTTTGCGGCAAAAATGCAATGTTCAAACAAGAACGAGGAGCTCAAAAAATAAAAAAAAAATTGTATATATACACACGTATTGAGGTTGTACCTTCCCAAGGAAAAATCCTTAAACCAATCAAAAATTCTCTTTGCTTGTTAAAAGCATTAAAAACAGATTGTAAAAACCTTAAACTCTCCAAAAAGTCACTTTGCTAATAGCTACACAAGCTATCACAAGTACTATGAGCAGCTCCAAATCGATAGCTATTAATGGTCTGTTCTAAACCTATAACTTCAATTGGTGAGTTGTCCTCTCCATGGATCGCTTATTCCCAATGTAAAGCTGCAAAGTTAGTAAATTCACCCCCTCTTTCCCGATGCAATTCCGTCTTTATAAGAGACCAAATATAGAACAACAACACACAACAAAAACGCAAGTAAATTCATATTCAATTGCTAACACTTTATTTCATCAACCCATTCTCACTCCCTTCTGAACTTTAACAACCCATTCTTTCTAAATGGCTTCCGAAAGAGAGGGCCACCGAGATAACATTGTTTGGCGGCCAGTGAATAAGGCTCCAAACCAGAGAGGCTCAAACTGTAGAGCTTCAAGCTCCAACTCCAGAACTTCGAGCTCCACTCGCACTCACCGCTGTTACCCGGTGTGTGAGTTCTTTCGACGGATGCTCTCCATGCCTCCATGGAAATTCCAAGATTTTCTATTTGAATCTGCTTGGATCCAGCACCCAACATCCATATATACCATCGTAAAGGTATCAGAAGAATTCCGGGATAAAATAAGAGGATGGTACAAGGCATTAACCATTCTAGAGCTCTACACAATACCACCGTCCCACATTTGGGTTTTGCTAAACCAAGAAAGCAACCTCACTCTCTAGGGATCCACCTGTCAGGCAAATCAGGTATTGATCCCACACTTTGAGAGGATCCAAATCAACATCTTCTCGCAAAGACCGACAAAAAGAGATCTAGACCACCACATCTCCATCGTGTCAGCATCATTGGAAGACCCAAATGAAGGTTTAGGATTTGGATGTGACATAGAGAACTTCGTAGATCTCAACATGAGAGAAGAGAGTGCTGCCCGTCATCATTACGAACACTCCTCTCAACATTCTCTTTTTCAACATGAGGGCACCGCTCGTCCTAACTTCCACCAGCACTACATGTACCTACACTCTTATGGACTCTTCGATCTCGTCATCATTACGAACATGAAAAGTAAAGAAAGCGAAGCCCAGTTTATGAGTAAAATCATAGGCTACTCCAACACCAAGACCATGAACCCACCCTGATTCAAAAAACCCACTCGTTAGACAGGTGGGATTTGGTGCCTATGGAATGAAGCTAAAATCTCATGTGAAGTAATAGAGATCCCGTGGAATGAGGTCATCGCCTAATAAGCCCACATTTTCGTTCGGCCAGTTCGTGCCAAATGAAATTAAAATGTATCTCTCCCTTTAGTTTAAAAGAAATCAAACTTTATTAACTACATGAGTTACATTTTCGACATCTTTGTCATACATGTACAGATACTCTCATAAGAACATCTGTACAAGGGGCATTAATGTGGGTATCTATATTATGCTTGGCACGTAGAGAGCCTTATGGGCGTCACGTCAACACCACTACACATCCACATGGCAGATCTCTGAGGCGCCACGATGAGTATGTCATCACCATCACACAGCCACGTGGCAGATCCCTAAGGCACCACAATGAGTTGGGGTTGTATGCATTGCCTAAGTAAGGACATGCACACCACCAAGTATGAAAAATAGGACCACAATTCACCTTGATAGAGCTGGCTCAGCTAGAGCTCTCTAGGGTCTAACTTAAGAAATATATTCTCTACCCACTCATTCCAGCTCGCCGCAACATAGTTGGACTATTAGCTCACTTATGTTTGGCTCTCTTATGTTTACTTAAGCTGCTTAGGATGAACCCTTGGCTCACCCATGCACTCACCCTCTTAGTTGCCTAGGTTAGGAGCAGGACCTAAGCACTCCCGCTTGGGATCATTAAAGGATTGTGGATTGAAGGCTAAGACCTCGGGATCATCAAGGTCGTGTAGCTACCCTGCAGTGATAGCTCCCCCTTTGACCTGGCTCAGAGAAAGGGACGTTGACCTTATACTTACATTTGATGCATATATGATATGCCTCTCAAGATATCATACCTGTTATAGCGATCCCGGTTGTCCCTTTACTATTCTGTTGTATTCCGGTCTCGGTTCCGTGGAGTTGGTAGTTGTATCTATCTTGTTATCGTCCTTTAATTCAATTTGTTTGAGTTTTAGGATGTGTTGGGCATGTTTCAAACAAGTGGGTTGAACCTTGGTCTAAAATCTTGTTGCCAGGTTTTTGGTCGTTTCGCTCGAGCGAGCCTCGTTTCGCTCGAGCGGGCCTTGTTGCGCTCGAGCGGATATTGCGCACTCCCAATATTTCGTGTCCCTGCAAAACTTCTGCAGGTGTGATTTTTACGCTCGAGCGGGTTTCTTTATGCTCGAGCGGTCGCGCTCGAGCGGGTACTCTGGCGCTCGAGCAGGTAGTACTTTTTGGTGTAAGTTCTGGGAGGGGAAAATCCACGCTCGAGCGGACTGGTTTTCGCGCTCGAGCGGATGTACTTTATTCTTGTGTCTTGGCGCTCGAGCGGGCCTTCTTGCGCTCGAGCGTACCTAGTTTTTTGTTCTTGACGCTTGAGCGTTGTGTTCTCCGCTCGAGCGGGAATGTCGTATATCAGTTGGCAGCTAGGCATTTTAAAATCACTTTTTACATTCTCTCTCTCTCTCTCTCTCTCTCTCTCTCTCTCTCTTTCTAAAAAGATATTTTGAGACCTCCTCTTTCTAGAATCTCCCTTCTCTCTAGGGTTTGATCTAGTCAGAGTGTCTCACTATCCTCCGGCCTTTGTAAAAAGTGTGTGGATCGTCGAGGGCTCCATTTTGATCCGTGGATCTTTGAGTTTGGAGCATTTTGGTTTTCTTCAACTCCCCCGTGTGAGCTCTAACTTCGAGGTAGGGATATCCTACTCATTCTCATGAGTTTTGTCTTTGAATTTTAGCATTTTGATGAGTTGGGGCTTGTTGGGTAATTTTGAGAAAGTTTGGGCCTTTGTGTAATTTTACAAAAGTTAGGGTTTTGTTTATATAAACTTATATGCATGTTTGGCATAGAGAAATGAGATCAATGTTGGATCATTGGTGAAAATGGAACCTTAGGGTTGTGATGTTAATTATGGGAAATGCTCTAATTACATTGATAAATTAATTGGTATAATTATTTTGAAGAAAAGAGGAATTAAATTGAGAATGTTGAAATTGGATGTGGATGAGATTAAAGAGTGCAGTTAGATTCGTTCATCGCTCACCTAGTTGAAATGTTGATTATATACCCATTTGGTGCATTTATTTTCAGTATAGAAATAACTATTTTGGGCTATCGGTGGAGGATAGTCTTGATTGTTGTAGACACTGCATGATGATTAGGCAAACTAAAACTAATCGATTGAGTATGCTATTGAATATAGCAATTAGAATAATACATTAATTTTATGTATTGATTGATTGTATATGATCTATGTTTATATACATGTGTTGTGTGGGAGGAGATAGGGGATGTACTCCACGGTTTAGGGGAAGATAGGGGATGGACCTCTAAACTGGATTTTGTGTGACATTAATACAGCGCTACAATGTGTATCCAGTGTTGATTATGAAAGTGTTTGAATTGATTTGATATAGCACTAAAATGTATATCGTTATCAATTGTAGAGTATAGAAGTGATTCTATGTTATGTTGATACAACACCAAAATGTGTATCTTTCACAAAGTGTGGAATGGTTTATGTGTTATTGATACAACATTAAAATGTGTATCCTTCATGAATTTCGAAAGTGTTTTAAAGATGAGTCTAAATCTCATTAAGTTATTTGGCTAGGTGTTGAGCCTTGTTTTCAAACTCAAAGTTGGAAAAGACATGGGAAATGAAATGTAACATGGACTTAATGTCATGAAATCGAAATGTGATATATGTGGATGTATCTGTGTTGACCATCTATCAACTGCTAATCTTTTAGTCATTGTTCATGGCTGGTTTAGTGTATTTCTACTGGGCTGTGGCTCACCCTTTAAGGGACATCATTTTCAGGTACAACTAGCATGCCACCTCCAAGGACATAGCTTGGAAGGCTAGAGGCAGACAGACTGCTTTTTTATTTGCTTTCTTTTGATGTATTACATGTAAATTCAAGCCAAGGGCTTAATATGTACTGAGTTAGCACTCTTCTTTTTGTAACCAAGTGTTAACTTGAAAAGTTGTAAGCCCGTAGGGCATTTACTTTTGTTGTTAACACGTAATACTTTTGTAAAGAATTACTCTGATGAATAGAAGAATATTTATCTTTTATACCAATGCATATCTAAGTTGATGGGTTATAATGCTATTATTTTGAGGACATTACAACTTGGTATCAGAGCGTACCGGGTTCGAATACTTTGGGTACGTGGGAAGTGATTAGTATCACAATGGGTTTGTCTCGCTTGTTAGAGATTTATGTGTGACATTATGTGTTTATTTGATAACATGATTATGTGACTACCTGGGTATGGGATTTAGTTTCTAGGATGTTGATTGGATCCTTGGGTTTCTGTGAGTCTTGTTGGAAAAGCACTTGATCATTGCTGTTTCTAACCGGAACTCTAGTAACGCCTCGGGACTATCATTATC